TTCTTTACCCCTGTGTTTGGCACCGTTCCCTGGCCTCACTTTCTCTCCATATCCATCCTCCGGGAGCTCTCCATGTGGCTTGTAAACGCCACAGCATGGTGGTCTCAGTCCATCTGCACTGCTCACATGGGAGCTGGCTTCTGAGGGGCAGAAGTGTGAGCTACTAGGCCACCGCAGGGCTTTGCGCCGAACTGGCACAGGGTCGCCGCATTTTACTGGCCCCCGTAGTCACAGAGCTCCCCCGGATTCGAGGGGGTAGGGAAGCAGACTCCACTCGTGACGGCAGGCTCTCCAGGCCACACGGAAGGAAAGCACACGGCTGACGGACGCGGCTGCAGCCAGGTGTGGGGCACACGCTCCGCCACAGCAGGGCACAGGCTGCTTCCCGCTTCTTCATCACACTTTTCCGCATGCATTAGTTTGATAATCAGGAACAAGTTAGTAGAAGAAATGGGGTGCAGAGCAGTGCAGGCTGCCATCTGTGCAAGGCAAGGTTTCAGTTGGCTGGCACTTTCTGGGCCCCCTTGGCTCATTTCCTTTCAACACTGAGCCCTGCTTCTGGGTGATGGACTGGAAATTGGGTCGGGAAGCAGCCGGCACCTCACAAAGCCATTCCCCGAGCACCGGGCATTCTTCTCCTGCCTCCCCTGAAGTCATGCCACGTAGGGGTCTCTTCTCCTTGGTGACACTGCTCTGTCTCTGTGAAGCGATTACATTTATTTTTGCCACAACCAAAAGAATGAAAGTCTGTAACACCATTTTTTAATTAATTAATTTATTTATTTTCAGAGAGAGAAGAAGTGAGGGAAAAAGTGAAAGAGAGAAACATCATGTGTGGTTGCCTCTCGTGCACCCCCAAACGGGGACCTGGCCCACAACGCAGGCATGTGCCCTGATTGGGAATTGAACCGGCAACCCTTTGGTTCACAGACCAGCACTGTCCACTGAGCCACACCAGCCAGGGCAACACTGGTTTTTATTCACATTCTTTGAGCATCCATGTACCAGCAATACTCAAGAGTCAGCTGAGTAGTGTGGCACTTACTAAGCCCCTGTTATATATAAAACGTAATAATTAAGACAGAAGTTATAAGTTCTACAAAATTAAGATGATTTGCTGCCTTCAACAAGTTTAAATTCATGGGCAGAAATATAAGAAAATAATCAAGTAGATTATGCAAAGTAATAAAAGCAAAAAAACCTTAAACAGGTGTGTAAGCAACGGGCTGTAGGGACCCAGAGGAATTTGGCCTGAAGAGAAAGGCTTTGTGGAGGAGACGGTATTTGAAGTGAGCCTGGTTCATAAAGCCGAACAGCTTCGGAGTGTGCGACTCAACCAAACACCGTGCACACCCGCACCGCGTGCCCACCGCCCAAAGGCACTTCTCCCGGCTTTGCCCACCTCCACCTGCCCCCACCCCCCTTCCCTCTGGCCATCACCCCACTGTTGTCTGTGTCTGTGTGTTGTGTATAAAAATATATGTGTGGTTTTCTGGCCTAATCCCTTCACCTTCTTTCACCCAGGCCCCCAACCCCCACCTCTCACGGCCATCGGTCTGTCCCATGTAACCATGCCTCTGTCTCCGTTTTCTTAGTTAATTTTGTTCATTAGTCCACACATAAGTGAGATTGTTACAGACCAGGGCCAAGGGGGGTACGATGTACTATTACCAAAAGGACCCCCGCCAGAGAAAAGATGTCTCTCAATGCCAGAGATTTGTGAAAAGGAAAGGAAATGTTTACTTAAAGCCATACAGACTTAAAGTAGTGACCTAATATCTTCATTAAAATATCAAAATCCTTTAGGATAACCACAGACCCACATAGTACTTCCTTCTCTCTCTGCCCTAGACTGGGATACTGTATCTCAGGAAAAGAAGCAGACATCGTGATCCAGGCTGCTGGCACCATCAGCCTGTTACGGTTTGGGACTTCAGCTAATCCAAAGCCATGTGGCACCTTCTCATGGCCTATTGGCAAGAGTTTTTTCACCCTTGTTTCAGGCCAAGTCTTATCTGCTTCCTAGGCCATGTGGCCAAAGAAAGCACCCCAAAGCCATGTGGTCCTCTTCTACCAAAGCTGCAGAAGTCCGCACTCTGGCAAAGCTGTGTGGCTCTCCCTCCCAATGGCAGCCGAGTCTGGGTTTAAATCCCCGAGCCAATCTTCCTCTGTACCCCCATTTCTGACTCCTCCTACAATCAGTCACACCTGCCAGCAGTCCTGCATTATTCCAAGTTTACTGAGCTGCCATCATGAGTCTGGGCAGGTGTGTCCCCATGTCATAGAGCCAATCTTGTCCAAGCTCCCACGTAGGCGCTGTAACCGGGGGTCCTGCCCCCCAGATACATCTTGGGTAGAAGTCCCTTCTATCCTCCTGGCTCAGAGCATGGCCACAGCTATTTAACATATCTTTGCAACCAGTTAAAGGTTATAGATATATTAAATGACCATGCCAGAGGTTAGCTGCAAAGCTGTTGCTGTACATGTTCCTGCTCCATGTGTCCCTTCCCCCAACTCACACCTGTGGTGGGAGAGGAGAGGACATCTTATATGTCTTTCTAATATTGCCTGGACACCCCTGAGTTCTAGACCCCATTTCAAATCCCTATTTGGGGCCCCTCTTTTGGCCGCACCCTGTATCAAGATCATATGGCAACTGTCTTTCTGTGAGTGGTTTATTTCACTTAGTGTAATGCTCTCTAGGTCCAGCCATGATGTCACAAAACCTGAGTTCCTTCCTTTTCATGGTGGAGCAGTATTCCGTTGTGTAAATGTACCACAGCTTTTTTATTGACTCCTCTACTCAGGTTGTGAAATACTTCACCAGCTTGCCTTTTCAGTTCGCATATTGTCAGTGGTAAACACTGTGCAATGGTTCAGAGGGACATCAAGTCAGGCAGACTAGTTCCGAAGCTGTAATTACAATTTGAACAGAGGGCGGGAGAAGGGTTGGTGGTGGTGATGCACAGGACCTGAAGTGACTGAATTTACTGGGAAAGGGCAGGAGAGTTAACGTAACTCAGAGCTTCTAGCCTGAAGACTAAGGAGGACAGTAGTACCACTAATTAGGACAAGGGGCACTGATTCCCGAGGGGCTGTTTGAGGCCCTGGTGAGATGCCCAGTGGAGGCTCTCAGCAGGCACTGGGGACTGGTACCACAGGGAGGCCAAGCCCACGGAGGAAGGTTTGTCACTGTACGTGTGGCAGTGACAGAGTCCATGCACAGAGAGAAAAGGGGGCGGGCAGAGGTGGGAGAATGGCTCCTTTAATGGGCCAAGCAGGTTAAGAGAGGTGACCAGAGAGACATGAGAACAGGACAGGATGGGAAGTCACGGTGCAACAGAGCCTGAGCAGGACCCCAACCGACAGGCTCTCCCTGCTGACCGAGCTCCCCTCCTGGGCAGTGACTCCAGGGCATCCATGCAAGTGGCGGTTTATGTCAGGGCTGTCCCACAGAGCTGCCTGCGGTGACGGGAATGTTCTGCATTGGCCGGCGCTGCCCGGCACAGCTGCCACAGGCCACGTGTGGCTCCTGACGGGAGGCTCAAAAAGGACCGGTTTACACAAAGGGCTGGGCGTAAGACGTGATTTTTGCCGGTGGTCAGCAGACCCAGTACCGAATAGTTTAAAAGCTTTCTTGGTTGCACTCAATACTGTATTGAGAAGCTCTAGAATGATTACCCTTTTGAATGGATACTTAATTCTCAGTGAATTAGGGTGAACAAATTGGCCGAAAGGGCAATGACATTGTTTGAAGCATCCACCCTCCCCACACCCGGCCCCCTTACTGGCCGCACAGGAGCTTCATCTGGTGACCACATCCAGGACACAGGCTTCGGGGACCAGGGCCCACCACAGGTGATGCTGGGCACACTGGGCCCCACGCCCCCTGCACCCAACCAGCTCGGCCACTGGCCCTTCTCAGGCGGAACTCCATCGCTGGACATTCAGAGCCAGGGCCCAGTATTCCAAAATCATTCGAAGACATCGCTCCCTTCCAAGAGAACTACTTTATACACCAAAAGTTTTACAAAATCCAAAATAATTTTATTCACTTTTTCAGATTTTTGCTTCCACAAGGTGTTCAGCAAACATGCTAAGGCGACAGAATGTCTAGTTGGTCACGACATGCAACGCTGACCATTCAACTGACAGCAGCGACCACGCCCACCTGAGCTACTGGCCCCACGGCACGAAGGGGGTTTGCAGGAACACGCTGAACTACACAGCAATCAGCAACCTGAGGTAGGTCTCTTTACAGTACAAAAAACTTCTACACCAGTGTGAGACACTGATTAGCAAGAGCTGCTTAAAAGTCGCAGACTTTGGAGAGGGAGAGAGACGGTGCAACAACTGCGGTGAGGAAAGGAAACAGACCCACGAAACCCTGAACCCTGTCACTGGACTGTGGGGGTGCGGGACCAGGCAAATGAAAAGGTGCCGCTGGGAAGAGCCGCCATCGGCTCCAGGGCTCAGGACCAGGAGGCCCAGGAGCTGGAGAGCTCTGTGCAGTGGCCAGCGTGAGGAACCTGAGGCAGCGGGACACTCCGTGAACAGGCTTGATTCTGCTTTAAAAACAACAGCAAAAACAGGAAGGCAGGGGAGAGGAAACTCCCTCTCGCCCAGGAATGTTGCTGGGGTTCACGTTCCAGACGGAGGGAGGGGCACGGGGCTGGGGCTTTGCCCCACTGCTCTCCACACAGAAACGGGGAAGCGACAGCAGGACAGAAAGCAGGAGCCCTGAGAATTCACGGCGCGCTGCCCGGCCTCCGGAGGACCCCTCCACCCCACCCTGTCCGGGGGGGGTTGTGGGGAGGTGGCAGAGCTGCGGCTGGAGGGCCCGCTACTGCCACCGTCTTCCTTGTTTGATACCTAGAAAACCTGGCGCCGTGAAACAACCAGCGAGCAAAGAACAATACGCTGCCCTTCCTATCATCTACGAGCAAAACCAGATCTCCAGTACAGCAAACTGTACAAAAATAATAGAAAGGAATTTGCACTGTTTTTAGCACAGTGCTTATTTTAATATAAAATAAACAGCTTACATTTTCACTGTAAATATAGGCTATGTACAGAATTATATATAGATATAGCTACACGTATAAAGCTTCATTATAGGCCTCTGATACATTTATAATAACGGTTCCCTGAACCTTTTAGAGTGCAATTAGGAACAAAAACTAAAATTTGTTTACATGAATGTGGAATAAATACAATAATCAAAATATGACTCTCCCTAAAAGTGAAACACACAAGCCAATCCTGAACTGCTGTGCGAAAGATAAAATCGGGAAAGGCAAGGTTGCGGCAGGACAGGAAGAGCGCCCGCCCCAGGCAGGGAATGGCGCTGCTCCGAAGGGAAGAGGCTCCGCGGCGGCGGGAGGAGTTAGCCCTTGACAGCAATCTTGTTCTCCGAAGCAGCAAACATGGCGTAGAACCGGGAGCTGTCATTGGACAGAAGGACCGATGGGGTGTCAAACTCCACCACCTGCAAAGGAAGGAGATGGCATCAGAATGTGACTCGGACACTCGGGCGATTTAGAGAACCCACTGCTCAGGAAGGGGGGCAAGTCTGAGGGCCCCGATAGGGTGCCTTCACCCAGGAATCAGGGGTGGCAATTCAATTAGCCCTGCTGTGCCCAAGTGGGGTTTTTCAAAACCAACCAGGGTAAAGGGAAAGGCTGGAGAGAAAGCCCTGTAGACCTCCTTCCTGTAGTTCTTTCAGCCTTAGGTATGAAGGAATGGATCTGTGAGACACTACGAGCTGCAAGGAAAACACTGCATCTCAAGTGAAAGGCATAGCAGTCAAACGTTGTCTTGTTTTGTAAACTGATCTAAACCTATAGATGGAAAAGGAATAGCTCAGGATACCTAGATGGCAGGAAAGAATGGAGGTAAGGGACAGACTCAGTCAATGATCCGTTCCTATGGACTTCTATGCAGCCACCAGAAATCGTATCACAGTAGCTAAGTGAGCAACATGCTGGCAGAACCTGCCTCCTGTGATGCTGGCTGAAAATGCCACATACTTTCCCAGCCTCCCTTGCTGCAGGACAAAAAGCATAGGATACCACCTTGGCCAAGGACATGTAAGGGAAGTCTCCTGGGGTGCTTCTGGGAAAGGCTGTCCTGCCTGGCAGAGATAGACCAAAGGACAAAGTGTCCTTCCTTAGGACTGGTTGTGTGAGGGTACAACACTGGCTGCAGATGCTGTACCATGAGGGCCCTTTCTTAAGGGACGGGCAGGTTGTGAGCAGGTAGACATGGGAAAGGGAACAAGAGGGAAGGGCATTTTAGGTAGATGGAACTATATGAGTAAAGACAGCGGTGAAAAAGCTTAAGGGATGCAAAACTGCCTACAGCCAACAGCACCTGGCAGGAAAGAGGGAAATGAAGAAGGCAAGCCTGGGCCAGACTGTGGGGAAGCTTGGAGCCACAGGATGGGACGTTTGGCACCACTACGCGGCTGCAGAAAGCAAACAACACATGGTGGCTGGTCTCAGAACGCCTTGTGCACTTCGTGTGTATGTGAATTAGCTACTAACTAAACACACTCTTGGATCTAAGTCAGGTACCGCTGTTTTCAAGCAACAAAAGAACAGGTAGTAATGCAACAGGAGAACCCAAGCACGCCCCTCACTCCGTCCCTTGTTGGGAGGGACTATATCGCCCCTCCCCTACCTCGCAAAGCAACCAGACTAGAGCCGCTATGGCTGCTTTCCTGGATGCTCATATCACGCTAAGATGTCCATCAGCCCAGTCTTCCCAGACAAGGCTACATGCCAAGGGCAGGTCTGTCGGGGGCTCAGTACCTGTCCCTGGGCCAGCACCATAATCCTATCAGAGCCTAGGACCGTATGCAGGCGGTGGGCAATCGTCAGCATTGTGCAGTCGGCAAAGGCTTCTCGGACAGTCTCTTGGATCAGCAGGTCTGTCTCTGAGTCCATGGCCGCTGTGGCTTCATCTAGAATCAGAATCTGCCGAAGAGAGGGGACAGAGATTCCAGCTGCTTCCTTAAGCATCCTTGTTAATTTAGGTTTTCTGAAAACATATTTTAGCATTTGAATTTTACCCCATATGTTGCTTTTTCTCAATAGATGCACATATGTAAAAATACTGTTTTGTGTAGAATTGATGTCACGTCAAACCTGTATATCTGGCTTGATTTCCATAAATACAGGGGTGTTCGTATAATACTCACCCAACAAAACACTCACCCTACTCTCTTTGACTGCAAACACAAAGAGTAATCTTTCTGGACCTCCGTTTTCCAGTTTCTAAAATGAGGGGACTGAATCTGATGACCTGGGTATGTCTTGCAGTTTTAAGATCTTCTAAGTCTACAGTTTCCAGCACTACAACTACTGGCCAGAGTCAAGGGTTGCCCTTGGGAACTGAAGGCTTGGGGAAGTGAAAAATACAAACAAAAAAACACCCATATACCCAAACTGTGTCAAGGTTAACTCAAAAACTCCCCTGGGCATTCTCTTAAAAAGTGCCACTAGACTCAGAGGCAGGAACGCTGCAAGGAAAGGCTGCCCCTCCAGCTCCTGTTCCTCCTGCCGCCGCCCTCCCCCAGCACCCACCACGCTGCCTTACCTTACAGTGACGGAGCAAGGCTCTTGCTATGCATAAGAGCTGCCGTTCCCCCACTGAGAAGTTCTCCCCGTTCTCCAGCACTTCAGATTCAAGTTTCAGAGGTAGCTGAGCAATCTGCGGAGAAAAAGCAAGTCGAGGTTAGAAGGGTAAAAGAGTTTGGGAAAAAAACCCACCCCTGACTTTTGTCAAAAATCTAGTGGCCAAGGTAAATGACCCTGAAACAGAAGAAGGAATTACTAGCCGAGAGCCTGGCTCCCCTGAAAAGCAGGTACAGGTGTGGCAATCACACCCACCAGGACCCACACTTTCTAGGACAGTCCCCATTTCGAATATACTACTCTGTTAGCCTCTTACTCTCAGAAGGTCCTGGAAATTCCAATATTTTCATGCCCACAAACCCAGGCATATAGGGGGCCTAACTTTGGGGCCACTGAAAACATGGTCATGCAGGAGGAGGTGGGGGAAACACACTGCTGTCTTTCTGAAGGGCAAAGCGGTGGTCCATGATGGCTGTTCAACTGAGTCTTCAAATGAAATTATCTGAGAAAGCCCAATCTAAAAGAGATAAACGCAGAGGTGGTCTGGTGGTGTTCGGGCAGGGGATCCTGAGCTTGGCTTCAGCAGGGACACAGGGGCCATCCTCCAGGGGAGGGGAGTCCATCTGCGGATTTGGGGCCCTGGAGGGTGCCTGCTGAGCTACTGAGAGATCTGGGAATCCATATCCACGCTGCACGCTTTCCACAGACTCCATAAATAATGCGTCTTTTGCACATATATAGATAGTCTGAAATCATGTCATACTGTTATGATTAATAAAATAGAAATTAATCTAAAAGCATTACTAAATTCTGAGTGGCTGTCATTCATCTCTGCTCAATCAGTGGATAGTAAGAAGGGTAACGTGATCATGGGCGGGAGGAGGGGGAGGCAAGGAGTCAGGAAATAGCAACTTTTATGCCCTTACTGCGACGTCTGGGAAACCCTGCTCTGAAGTGTCCCTCCACAGACATTCTGGAGGTGGAGGGACAGTCCAGGCGGGACAGAGGCAGCCCCAGCAGGCTGAGGAGTGACCCCAACATCACTGCGTTTCCACCCATGAAACTGTAGCAAGGCGATTCATCCTCAGTTTTTTTTTTTTAGATTTTATTTATTTATTTTTAGAGAGAGGGGAAGGGAGGGAAAAAGAGAGGGAGAGAAACATCAATGTGTGGTTGCCTCTCACGCACCCCTCACTGGGGATCTGGCCTGCAAACCAGGAATGTGCCCTGACTGGGAATCGAACTGGCGACCCTTTGGTTTGCAGGCTGGCACTCAATCCACTCACCCTCAGTTCTTTACTTACACATTCTTTCATGTGTGTCCTTTCTAGGGCATCCCAAATCTGGTCTTCAGTGTACTGATTGAAGGGATCCAAATTTGATCTAGGGAGAAACATAAGAGGACTTTCTCAGCGACCCGACACTTCATCGACCATACTGCCCAGGCTGTCTGGGGCAAGCGTTTAAGCACACACAAAAAGAGGGCTTCAGCCCTTTTGGGTCGCAGAGGGCTCGTTCCCTAACCAGCCAGAGTGGAAGCTCGGATGCCTGCTTCTATGAGAACAGACTTTCTTCTTCACAAAATGTTATTCAACTTTCGTAATACAGATACATAGAAGAATTAAGAAATATATACAAATCACAAAGGGAGAGTGTGCACACAAAAGAAGACCTGAACAGGCTGGGCTCAAATCCCTGCTCTGCCTCCCACCATCTGTGTGACTTTGGACAAATTACTCCTGTCTCCTCCTCTGTAAAGTGGGGACCGACTGATGGCGTGGTAGGTTGCTGTCAACATTAGGTAGTATATGTACGATGCCCAGAACATGGTGGGTACTCAATAATTGGCAGCTGCAAAAATTGACAAGGTCTGTGTGGACACATTAGATGCCTTGGTTCCAATGTTTGCTGGCTTTCCGACTCATATATTCAACATATATTCCAAGCGGCAGGATAATCCTAGGATCTGGAATACCAGGACCAGAAATTGTTCTGCTAAAGCCCAACCTGTGAAGGGTCTGCAGCGGGACGACCACTCCCCACAGACATGCCATTTAAGGTGGGCCCTCTTAATTAAAGGTCTGACTTCTCGATAACCTAAACGAGTAAACTTGTCTTTTATTGTTTTTATTCTACTTTTTAATTTTGAGAGTACGTTTATTACAGTTGCAGACAGGGAAACAAGGAAGGGCCTAAGATAGAAGAAGCAATAAGAGAGAGACTAGGCGGGCTGCTGCCAGCTCACTGGAGAGTCAGAGAAAAGGGGGCCCTGCAGACGGGTTCAGGGGGTCAGCCCGGGACAAGCTGCCATTGCTCTTTGCTTCCCTGTTTACATGTCTCACAGGGACGCTTAGAGTTTAGGAAAAAGAAACATCACTTGAAAAGGAGATTCAGGTGGTCATGCCTTAAGAAAGGCATGCTGAAATTGCCCTTAAAAAAAAAAGTCCTTACCAGTTCCACTCCACAAAAACTAAGACTATCAAAAAAACAAAAGTAAAGAAAGAAAGAAAAAAAAGGGGAGCTTCTTAAAGCAATAGAATAACTCCGAGACAACTGGAAGACCTTGAGATCCTAAGAATCTGCTGCAAATCTGAATCGTCTTCCATGTCATGTAAAGTACTAAATGCTTGTCTGAAGGTGTGTGGGCCCAGAATGAACCCAATCAGGAGTCGCTTGTGGATTCAGTCACTGCTGTTGTGATGGTGAGTTGAGAGCTAGAGATAGACAGACCTCAAAAGTTAAAAAAAAAAAAAAAAAAAAGATTGGGTGGATTAAAAAGGAGGGCACCAGACTAGGAAGAAATGAGAACACAGCTTCTTGGTAATGAATGGATGCCAGGCAGAGATGCTCCAGGTGACGAGAAGGTACCCACCCACACAAGAAGACTGACTCGGAGAAACTAGAATGACAGCTGCGGCCAACCCGTCTCGCTGAGGGGCAGGTTAACCACCAGCCACTCGGGGCTGCACACAGCCTGCAAGGAGGGAAAGCACTCCAGTGGGGGCTGGCCAGGGCAGGGGACAGGAGTAGGCTTCCTGAGACCAGGAGAAAAAGAGACTTCTGGAGAAAGAAAAGTATTTCCAGGGCCACGAAAGAGGGAAGGTCAGCAAGTGTTCAGGGCTGGATGAGACGGGAACTCTCAGTCAATTACTGGAGCAAAGGGCAGAGGAAAGGGACTGGCTACAGAAACAAAGGAAGGCCTTATGGCTCAAACCCAGACAGCTGGACAAGGGAGGGCTGGATGCAGCTATTGGAATGGACTGAGATTCCGGCTAATCTAGGAAGGGCTGTGCCCAAAAATGGACTATAGATTTTTTTTTTAATGTAGAATTCAGACACTTTATCTTGTGACTTTTTCTGAGTTTGGTCTGTTTGGTTTTGGCTTTACCTTGCTTTCCCTCTAAGAGTTCTTTATATGTTTTTAGCTGCATATTCGTATCTCGAGAAGATGTACTCACCCATAATGCTGGTTAATCGTGATTGAGAAACAGTCTCTAAATTCAGGGTCTCTAGGAGGAAGCTGAGGAAACAGCTGATCCACCCACCCCTTGTTTCGGGAAACTCATTAAATAGGCTGATTTTCTAAGAAAAGCACAAGAATTTCAAATGCTGAATATTCTTTGGAATCTGTAAGAAACCTGAGTATACAGGAGGACAGAAGGCCTGGGATTTTATTTGTCCTCAGGGCCTACTACTGACTTAAAAAGCCAAAATTACAGATAGCGGAAATGAAACTTAGGTTTCATTTCCTAGGTTTGCACAGCTAATAACCAAACAGCACTCTGAGATCAGTAACTAAATACTCAAGGCATCAGCACACCAACTTCTCAGCTTGTTCATCGAGCTGCAACATGTCTCTGGGGCTGGTAACAAAGGGTCCCAACTCCCACAAAAGCTGTGCTTCCATGACGCCCTGTGGACACCGGCTGCACCACAACCGGCAGGTCAGTGCTAACTTAGCACGAACTCCAGAAGCCCTGACTCCAGACCCACGTGAGGCACCGCAAACGCGCTGGGGCTCTGGTGGCAGCACCTCCAAGGGAAGTGGGAAGTTCAGCCCGATTTCCCTACTCTCCTCCAAATGACAGCAAAAAAATTAAGAAAAATATGGTTTTGTCTTGAGTCAAAAATTGTAAGGCCAATTTTATTTTCAAAGGTGTTCCCGTGGCATGTCAAAGTGGAGAGATATGTAGTAAGAGCAGATTCAGCAATACCTCTCAATTTCTTATTTTTAGATCTGAATCTTCAATAAATTCTAATTCTCTGCTCATGTAGCTTATTTTTTAAATATATTTTATTGATTATGCCATTACATTTGTCCCATTTCCCCCCTTCATTCCCCTCCACCCTGCACACCCCTCCCCCACCATTCCCCCCCTTTCGTTCATGACGATGTGTCTCAAGTTCTTTAGATTCTATATTTCCCCTACTATTCTTGCCCACCCCCCTATTTTCTACCTACCATCTATGCTACTTATTTTCTGTACCTTCTCCCCCCTTCTCCTTCTCCCACTCCCCTGTTGCTAACCCTCCATGTGATCTTCATTTCTATCATTCTGCTCCTGATCTAGCTATCCACTTAGTTTGCTTTTGTTTTAGGTATGGTTCTTAATAACTGTGAGTTTGCTGTCCTTTCACTGTTCATCTTTTTTATCTTCTTTTTCTTAGATAAGTCCCTTTAACATTTCATATAATAAAGGCTTGGTGATGATGAACTCCTTGAATTTGATCTTATCTGAGAAGCACTTTATCTGCCCTTCCATTCTAAATGAAAACTTTGCTGGATAGAGCAATCTTGGATGTAGGTCTTTGAATTTCATGACTTGGAATCCTTCTTTCCAGCCCCTTCTTGCCTATAAGGTCTCTTTTGAGAAATCAGCTGACAGTCTGATGGGAACTCCTTTGTAGGTGATTGTCCCCTTACCTCTTGCTGCTTCTAGGATTCTCTCCTTCATTTTAATCTTGGCTAATGTAATGATGATGTGCCTTGGTGTGTTCCTTCTTGGGTCCAACTTCTTTGGGACTCTCTGAGCTTCCTGGATTTCCTGGAAGTCTATTTCCTTTGTCAGATTGGGGGAGTTCTCCTTTATTATTTGTTCAAATAAGTTTTCCACTTGTTGCTGTTCCTCTTTCCCTTCTGGTACCCCTATAGTTCTGATGTTGGAATGTTTAAAGATGTCCTGGAGGTTTCTAAGCCTCTCATTTTTTTTGAATTCTTGTTTCTTCATATTTTTCTTCCTTGTGGTCCACTCCATTGATTTGATTCCCAGTTTTCTTTCCATTACTATTGGTTTCCTGTGCATTTCCCTTCATTGCACTTAGTTTAGCCTTCACTTGTTCTTCTAATTTGTGACTAAAATCAACCAGTTCTGTGAGCATCCTGATCATCAGTGTTTTGAACTGTGCATCGGATAGGCTGGGGATCTCTTGGTTGCTCAGATGTATTGGCTCTGGGGCTTTGAGCTGTTCTTCTTGAGCCATAATGTTCCATATGAGGGGCAGAGCCTTAGGTGTTCACCAGGGCTGGGCAACCCAGTTGCTGGGTTGTGATGCTGTATGTGGGGGTGGGGTCAGAGAGGAGCGATGGCGTTTGTTCTGCTCTCTCTCGAATTTTGGTCCCCTCGGCTGCTTCCTGAAATAAAATTGGGCCCTTCTGGTGCTGATTCCTGGGTATGTGGGCTTGTCCACCCTCCAGGACCCTGTGGGTCTCTCCAACAAACTCTCTGTGAGCCTGGGAGCCTCTCCTGGTACCTCAATCCCAAAAGTTCTCCCAATTGGTGCTTTTAGGTTTTATTTCCCAGCGCTCGGGCCCTAGCCTGCGTGGTCTGTCTCACTGCTCGCTCCTCTGCCTAGTTTATCTGCACATGAATGTGTGACCTCAGTCAGCCAGCTGCCTTGCGCCCCCACTGGGTCTGCCCGTTGCCACCCCACGCCTGGGATCCGCCAACCGATGCCTGCGCTCCTGGGTCTGTCTGGCCACCTTTTCCTGTGCGACCCTGCTCAGCCAGCGCTGGCTCTGCCCCTCTTACCAGTCTGGCTGAATGGTTTGTTGTTTTTCGACTTCCGTACAGTTCAATTTTCTGTGTTTTGGTTGCGTTTTTGTTACTAAAGTTTGTTGTCTTTAAACTTGGTTGTGCGAGGAGGCACAGTGTTTCCACCTACGCCTCCATCTTGGCTGGACCATGTAGCTTATTTGACCTTGTTACCTCAGTGCCAAAGAGAATGACTTACTATCAGACAAGATCAGGCACGTTCAGAGTGGTATGGCTGTGGACAGAATGACTTATTATCACCAACAGACCCAGTTTATACTGTCCAAATTCATTTGAGTTTTAGAGAAATGCCCAATAAACATGAAGGCAGGTGAGAACTTGATTTATCTAAGACACCTCCCTGATGAGCGAGGTGCCAATTGCAAGGAGAAGGGGAGTATAAGGGAACTAAATGGTAATGGAAAAAAATTACAATAAAAATTAAATTTTAAAAAAAGTGCCACTTCCAAAGAAAAGGGGTGGGGCTGGGTCAGGCAAAGGAACTAGTTTTTTTTAATGTATTTTTTTAAGATTTTATTTTTTATTTTATTTATCTTTAGAGGGGAAGGAAAGGAGAGAGGGAGAGAAACATCAATGTATGGTTGCCTTTCATGCGTCCCCTGCTGGGAACTGGCCTACAGGGAACTGGCCTGCAACCCAGGCATGTGCCCTGACTGGGCATCGAACCGCAATTGTGTGGTTTGCAGGCCCGTGCTCAATCCGCTGAGCTACACCAGCCAGGGCAGGAACTAATTTTTAAGATAAGTGTAAACACTGCCTGTGGTTATTTGAAATTAAATTAGTACTAAGTTTTGGGGGAAATGATAAAAATTAAAGAGGAAATGGTAATATTACTTTTAGAGTGATTAAAAAAAAACAAGTCCTATCTAGGTTGACTATATAGTTAAAGCTGTTTTTATTTTGAAAGAGAAGCAACTTAAATAGGAATAGACACAAATTATGGAAGCCCACTGTTTTTAGGAGGCAAAGCTTAAGGCTAAAGGCAGAACAGAATATAAGAGAAGAAAACAGGATTCAACCATAGTTCCTTCTTAGTTACTATTCTAACAGGTCAAGAAGAATTTAAAAAAGAGAGAGTAGAAGAACTCTTTTATCTTTGGCACGCTGGCAGATTTCAGAGAGGCATCATTCCAGGATGTTAAAGGTGGGAGAAGATGCTGGGAAATGGAAAAATGTGAGTAGTAATGGTGCCTGAACACCACCACTGGAAGGGCAACCTGAAGAGCCCCTAGGGGAGAGGACAGCGTGACCATGGAGGATGACGGTGACAATGGCTGCTGCCATTTTCTGAATGCTCATCATTTGCTAGGCTCTGTGCTCATATATTTGTACAAGCTTATTTAGTCTTCACAACACATCTTGATGGATGGGGAAAGACATTTGGGAGTGGTCAAGAAGCTTGTCCAAAGTCACAGAGCAGAGACCTGAGCGGCGGTATCTCCAACTTGCTCACTGCCACGTGGCAGGGCCTCTGAGCCCCGCTTTGTTGATGAGGCGCCCGGTACAGGGGAGTTGCCCCAACCCTCTGCAATGGGAAGCACACGGTATAGTGGGAAAAGCGCCAGACTGGAGGTCGCCAGGTCTGGGTCCCAGGTGGAGGCTCTCGCATGCCCACCTGGCCTTGAAACGAGGCACTAAGCCTGTGGACACTCGGGTCCTCACCTGACAGTGCCACTGAACAGCACTGGCTCCTGAGGAATGATGGAGAGTTTGCTGCGGAGGTCAGCAAGGCCAATCTCACTGATTCTCACGCCATCGATCTTGATGCAGCCTCCAGATAACTCCACCAGGCGGAAGAGGGCCATGCCCAGGGAGGACTTCCCTGGTGAGTGAGGAGACAGGCAGAAAAGTGGCTCATAAGCAATTTATAAAACTGATTTATGCAATCCTTATTTCAAAGGAGTAACTCAGATAATGTACAAAATGATTGCCAGAAACAGAAAAAAAAAAACCAAAAAACAAAGGATGAACTTTCCTGAGCTACCAAGCACATACATTTAAATCACACAGCTTCTGCCTGAGAAGGAATTTAAAGGAACATCATACTCTCCTGGGAGTAAAATGGGAAAATGCTTCTCAGGCTAAGTGAGGAGAAAAGAAGTCTTATGACAAGGAGCTGGGGGCAAACCAGAGGACAAGATGTTCCCCCCTCTGTCCCTTAATGTAGCAGAGAGAGAAACAAGACAAAAAGCCGTCCATTGCCATTGCCACAGCCACAGCGGGGAGTAGGAGAAGCTCTGGGGTAAGTGCACAGGGAAGGAGGCTCTGGGCTGAATGAATGAGTGGCTGTGGATGGCTCTGCCAGGACAGGGAGCTGTGGGAAAAGAGGTTTCAGGGGGTCGAACAATGGGTTTGGTATCACAGCTTTTTGTTTCTTAATTTTACTTATTGATTTTGAGAGAGAGGGGAAGGAAGGGAGAAAGACAGGGAGGGAAACATTGAGTGAGGGAGAAACACTGGTCGGCTGTCTCTCACATACATGATGGGTGGGCGCTGAACCTGCAGCCCAGGCATGTGCCCTGACTAGGAATCGAACCAGTGACCTTTCACTTTGTAGGACGGTGCCCAACCAACAGAGACACACTGCTCAGGGCAGAACAGCTTTTCTTAATGGAATCCACATTTTAAGTTATGGAAGTAATTCAAGAAGATAACATCAGTCTCTTGCAATCACTCCTGCTGTGTTCAATGCGTTTCCTTTCAGCCTTTCTCAGAGGTGAAATCATACCAGGCATACAACATTCTAATTGCCTTTTCCACTCAACGGTACATAACAAGCATCCAATCATATTATTACTTTCCAAGATAAAATTCTGGTGGCTGCAATACAGTCTATCATGTGAATGTACTGTTGTTTTTAATCCTCATCTGAAGATATGCTTTTATTAATTTTAGAGCAAGAGGAAGGGAGGGAAAGGGAGAGAGAGAAAGAGAGAGATCAATTGGTTGCCTCCTATATATGGCCTGAAAGGGGATCGAACCCACAACCTTTTGGTGTGTGGGATGACACTCCAACCAACTGAGCCACCCAGCCAGGGTTGGATGTACTCTTACTTATCTGGTCCTGTAACACTGAACATGTAGTTTATTTAGAACTCACTATAATAATGTTACCACGTATGGCACTGCTCCAACTTTGCTCCTGCCTCAGATGATTTCCTTGGGATAGACGATTTCCCCACAGCCATCTACCAGAATTAAGTTGGGAAATCCAAGCCCATGTCGCAGGACTGTCATTGATGATGCCTTCTCCTAAAAGTGACTGGCCTTACTCAGGGTTGGGGGGGTCTGGTGAGTGCCCCTTACCCAGGAATGAGGAAGGGGAGGGAGACTCTCCCTCAGTGCCAAGGCTGTGGCTTAAGATCCAGACTCAGAAAGGAAAGGTTTTCGAGTAAACGGGTCAAGTTAAGACGAGATGCCCAGGTTTGGAACAAGGGGACTGAAGCTGCAGTTCCCTGAATCTCTGGGAACGTGCTGGTAAAAACGGCAGCGAAGCCTCACAGCCACAGCAGGACCCGGGCCTGTGGGCCTTGGCAGAAGCTTATTAGGATTAGAGTTTAGACTTTGTAAGTCAGGCTATTTATAATGATTTTATTTTTCTTGTTTATTTCTCTTCATCACTACTTATGGTTTAATAGAGTCTTGGTGAGAACTTCAGTCTGTCTTACTCATGCGGAAGAAAAATCACAGGAAGGGGCACCAGCCAGAGCTTTCAGGAGAGCGGGCACCCGGGGGGCAGTCCAAGGGGAGAGCGGGTGGGAGCCCTGGCGTCAGTCTCCCTCCCTGGCTGAGCGGCCTCTTGCCAGTGCAGAATACCTGGAGGCAAATCTTGTTTTGACATGAAAGGATTCCTTCAAACAGGGAGCAGGAAATGACTTTTTCTTTTCCTCCTGGCACATTCTTTAAAGCAAACTGGCCAGAAAAGATGCTGGCTTCCCCACCCCCTCTCCCCATGGCAAGAAAAAAGCTAGAAGAGTTCTAATGAAAAGGAAGCTTGGAGCCCAGAGAGCTAATGAGAACTGACCCAGAGAGACCTCTTCTACAAGGGTAGCTGGGGGAAAGGAGACAAGGGTCGATCTCCGAAACCCTGTCCAGGAAGAAAAGAAGGAAGGGACTAAATTACTGAAGTCTTGACCCTAGAAACCTAAACGGATTACACAGCACACTTCAAAGTGTTTTATTTTGTTACTTCAGAATGAAGTAAATGCCTAAAACAAAGGCCTGTTCGCTAGTTCTTTGCAACTGACCTCGGAATCGGACCAAGGAACTAATTTCTGTCTTTGAAGGAATGTGGTTCCTGATGTGGAGCTGTGCTGGCCTCTGATAGGCAGGTGGCCACACTGGCAGCACATCACAGGGACCTCACGCACTGACTGCGTGGAAGTCAGGATGCTCCCTGCGGCACTCCTCAGGGCAGCGGGTCGCCCTTGGCGACCTACGGCTGGGACTTACTGAGTATAAATTATGGTGATCCATGAAATAGAATTTCCCACCACGCTGCAGAGAAACCATGTCTGAGAATATTAACTGACATTCATAAGGGTTGATCGTTTTAAAAGCAGGCCATGAAACTGTGCGCAAAGGGTCCTCATTTTTCTAAGTGCATCTGTGGACAGGAAACGCCTGAAGGACAGCCGCTGACATGCCCACAGCCATGATCTCCGGGGAGTGGGGTTATGGGTGCCTTTCCCCTCTGCAACTTGCCATGTGTTCCATGTGTTCTGCGGTGAGAGTGTATACGATTGCAAGAAGCACTAGTGTTAGAAGGGCAGGGTGGGAAATAACCCTAGAAAACTCATTTCAGTGAGACCTGAGACACTAACCATTCATCAACAGGGGACTGGTTTGAAGGGATGAGACAATAGATAACTCCAATGGGTTCAAAGGTTTCGCCAGAGAGGCCTTGGAGTGTCCTTACCTGATCCTGTCCGCCCCACGATGCCGATCTTCTCCTTAGGTTTGATGGTGAAGGATACCTTCTTCAGGACCAGAGGCAGATTTTCTTGGTACCTCATCTCTGCATTCTCGAAGGTCACCTCTCCTTCCTGGGGCCAGTCAGCTGGGGGAGCCTTGTTCTTAATTCTGGCAGGTGCTTCCAAAGAGAGGGTCTGGGGAGACAGAAGCAGCCCGTTCAGGCCGACCACAGATTCTGGGGGCTTTGTCATGGTGAATCAGACCAGCGCAACCACTGCCCCACACAGAAGCAGCTATGGCCCCAGCCCCTTGCTGTGAAGGACCCCCTCGGCGGTAAATGCTGAGACGGAGACAGAGCTTGACGGTTTACAGTGGCTAACTACTACGCAGCCACGGGGGCAGCGCGGTGACTCGAAACTGCCTTCTGTCGTGAGGAGTTCTTCCACGAAACTGCCTGGGAGGCCACACATTGGCAGCATGAGGTCTTCTATGCCTCTTCAACCCAGCATTTCGCACTGGAATTCTTGGAAAATATTCCACTCACTACAGGATTCCCCCATTAGGAAACCATTGGCCTGAACCCAAAGACAAGTACCATTTATGGAACTTTTAATCAGATCCCGTCATTCTGACGTATCTGAGTCAATCCAGGAGACACAGACTCCGATCCCAATTCTAGGTCTTAGATTCTCATCTGCAAATTGTGGGACTGGATCAGACCATCTTGGAAAGCTAGTCCAGCTTTAGAGTTCTATGTGAATATAACCACTTGTAATTTTTGTTATCAACACTCAAACCGAGCACAGTTTTAAAACTTTCTGGCAACCAGTCATGGGGCTTGTGGCCTTCTAGGGAAGAAAGGGCCAACGACTGTAGTGCTCTGGGGGGTGGAGCCGAAAGTCTAACGCTCCAAGCTGGAAGGACTTGCGTTGGGACCAGCATCCAGGGTGGGGACGTGCAGGGGTTTGCGCAAGGTTCACACTGTACCATGGCTGACAACCCCCACCCTGACCTCTCCAGCAACAGGCTCTCAGCAGCTGCGGCACTAAAGCAAACACTACATATTCATACATACACCCACGAATCCCCCACAGACCAGAGCGCTGGGCAAAGAGGCTAATGTATAATTATAAGGAGCAGCTATTAGCAGATATATTTATCTGTGTGCCATTTTTTCAGAACAATCATTTGTAACTTTCAGAAATATCCTATGACTAACGAGATAATGAGGTTCATTGTCAAAACAAGTCGGTGAAGCATGTCTCTGCTAGAAAATGCAGCATACACAATATACTGGTTCCCAACTGGAAGGGAAGTTTCTCAGGAGTATGCTCGTAAGTGAATAAGGTGGAACTTGGAATGTATTCTCCCCATGTAAACAACAGTAAAAATGCTGATAACGTCTCTGGGCAGTTCATGAGGTATGTATCGCCTAAGAACTCAGTTAAATTGGAGAATCCTAACCTCTCATGATGCTGTTTCCCTCTGCAGAAAATGCTTTCAGAGTACCAACTAGGACACCAGCAAGATGCTGCCCCATGGCAACAGGGCAGGGTTACTAGGGGAAGGTGGGAAGAGCTAGGTAATCTCAGTATCGATTAAATTAACTGGTTTTTAAACTATGAGTACAGTTCAGAATTAGCTGTGGAGCTGTTAAAACTTCAGAAGCCAAGGTCCCACCCAAGACTTGCTGTGCCCGGACCGTCTCCAGAGAGAGGCCCACGTATGTCTCTGCCTTGAGCTCCAGAGCGAGCCCCGAGGCCGTGTCTGGTTAACAAGTGACCCAGGCTGACATGCATACAATACATGGCTTTACACAGTGCAAGAAAAATGTTACATGGGTTGGCTTAACTAAACTAACAAGGTTCGGAACATTTTGGAAGTTAGCTGATGAACAAAACGTTCTCAATCACACACTTCATAAATGATTTAGCAACTCTTATGCTAATTCTCTTCTCCATTCCCTGCAGGCTAGAGAGACTGCTGGTCCGCTCCTGTGGGATAAGAGAAGGCAGAGAGGACATGCCTCCTCCTCGCACATCCACCCGAGGCAGCAAAAGGGTAAAAGGACTCTGTGAAGGGTGAGAGGGCAGCGCAAGGCCAGTCGCAGTCTGACCTGGATGTAGTGGTTGATCCTCTCCACTGAGGTGAAGCGAGCTTCTGTCTCAGTTGCCAGTCTGACGGTGAACTGGAAAAGCCCTGTCAACTGATGATGGAAAACAAAAATCCAAGACAGAGGTCATTATCAACACATGCCAGGCCAACAGTACAAAACCTCTTCCACCTAGGGGACCACAGTTCAATCACAAGAACTAACTGCACAAACAGCAGCTGGTTTTAGGAGCGAGGTCCTTCTGTAAACAGCAAAGACAATGCCTACAGCCCCCGCCATCTGTAGTTCTCTGTGAGTGCAGGTGGCACTGCAGTACAGCTGGCACTAACCCCCCCACCAAAGGCTTTCCATCCATCTTTACCGGTCCACCAACAGGTTTCTGTAGCCTCATACTTGTACCCACACCGAATAGAGATACATGTCAACCTGCGAGCAACTAGTGGGACGCTTCCAGGAAAGTCAAGGAAGAGAGGTGGGCGGGGCAGAGAGCACGCAGAGCCCACGTGTGCTGCCGCCCGAGGACTCTGCTGCTGCCCACCCGCCAAGTCTGCGTGACGAGGCAGACTCTTGGTTTGGAAATTTGGAAGATACGTGTTTCTTCTCAGGTTTCCTTTGAGTACTTCTTTGTTTATCTTTTCCATATGGAAAAATGACAAACTTATACGAGAGGAGAGAGGACTGTTTAATGAACACCAATGTACCAAACATCCACCTTAAAAAACTGTCAACTCACAGATATATTGTTTCATTTATGCCACCCCACCCTTCTGTTTTATTTGGAAGCAAATCCCAGATATTCTATCACTTCATTCATGAATATTCCAGCTTTTACCTTTCTAAAATATAATCACAATAGCATTATTCAATATGACGATGACATCTAAAAGTTAATAGTAATTCCTTAATATCTTCAAATACCTAGTCAGAGCTCAAGTGCCTGGTTGTTCTTTGAGTTAAAGACCTTAAACCATCCCTGGGGACCATCCCTAAGGGCATATGTAACGGCATCAAGAAAAGCAGGAGCCTGAAAATAAATTGCATCTACGAAGCATACTGAAGAGACAGAATATCTTAGAAGACAATAAAGAGGCCAGAGATGGCAGGATGGTGAAAACAGAAACTTATAATTAAAAGACTACTTGCAAAATCACCTTTGTGAAGAAAATAGCACTTATTTCTTAAGCACAGGCAACAGACTTAAATCCCTTCATTCCTATCTACCACTCCGCCCTCTCTCCCACCCTCCCGCCCAAGCCACGCCCAGTGGTACCTGTCAAAGCTCTGCAAGAGGCTCTAGGAAACAGAGGTTAAATGGTAGCTCAGGGCAGAGGCCCCTGCCATGCCTCTCCCAGGCCTTATTGAAAGGACTCCAGGGAGCAAAAGTGATGCCCTGCTACCAGAGACTGACCTGGACAGCGTACGAGATGGCAAGCCCGGCGTAGGCGGGGGAAATGTGCCCGTGCATGAGGACGACCATCAGCCCGGTGGTGGTGATCAGGGCGATGCTGATCAGGTCGAGCCGCACAGCCAGCCACCGCATGGCGCAGGTGAACAGGAAGAAAGGACTTTGGTTGTTATCCAGTAGCTCCTGGTACCTGTGACAAAAGTGGAACAAAAAAGCAAATGAACTACCACCCGACCCCGGTCACGGATGCCGTCCAAGCTCTGGTGAATAATGGACGAGGGTGGGGGTGCTAATATTGAAGTACTTCCTGTCTGTCACTAGGAGAATGATGTGGAAACTTCAAGAATGTCAAGAAGGCAGAGTATTCCATGCTCCACAGGCAGGAGGACGTGGGTCTGCTAGTCTTACCCTTTCGAACAAGCATATTAAAGATGTTCCGGGAAAAGGGAAAACTATCTACTTTAACAGCATAGGAAAAGCATGGATGAACCAGACCAAATAAAGAAGCCATGCTCAATGTCAGAAAAATGTCTTTGGTCAGGGGTCATCTTCTCAAAGAAAAAGAGGTCACAAAGGCAAACAGCAGAAACAGCCCAAGGCCAGGAAAAGGCAATTCTCAGACTGGACACGGCGAGGTGGACGCTGTTTTCCAACAGCTTCGTTGGGCAGCATGGTGCCCGTGTGGCAAGGCCAGGGGACACAGAGCCAGGAGCTAAACCAGAGCAAAAAGACAGAGGCCAGCTCTGCCAGTGACAGGGGAGGCACTGCTGTCATCAGGGGTCCGAGAGACCAGGTCACACCCCATCGGGTCCAACACAACTGGGGGCCCAGGGCAGGAAGTCTTTCCAGGCAAGTGTGCTTTGCTTAAAAAAAAAAAATCACATTTCTTTTTTAGAGTAAGGTCTGTGCTCTTTAGAGAAAGTTAGAAAATGCAACCAAGAAGGGGAAAATGCAAAAGTCCGGTAATCTTACCAGTTAAAATGAGTTAATACCCGGCTGTATTTCTTTCCACCATTTTTTTCAAAGCACTTAATGTACATGTATGTATGTGTACACACACACAGAGTTATTTTAATCTTTTTCACTGAAATGTAAGATTATTTTTCCAAGTTGTTTAACCTAATCTTTTTACGCTAGATTTTCTTTTAAAAATTAATCACTTAATTTTTGGAGTAGACAGTATATGATGAACAGGATGGACTACTTAAAGGGTATAAAAATTTCACCATGAAAAGTCAGTTTTTCTCCTCCCCATTCTCCAGCTACCCAGTTCCTCCCCTAGTGTAGCTACTGGGTTGGCCAAAAACTTGGTTCTCTTTTTTCCATACGATGGCTCTAGTAGTGCTTAGTTGTCTTTAACTTCATTTGAAACAATTTTGCTAGACTGTATTGTGACAGCCGTCATATCAGTGTGCATTTAAAAAAAAAACATCAAAATTGGTGAATATTTGTGTACCTATTTTAATACTGAAGATGGAAAAAACAACATTTTCAGCATATTATGCTTTATTATTTCAAGAAAGGTAAAAATGCAATTGAAATGCAAAAAAAAAAAAGATTTGTGCAGTGTATGGAGAAGGTGCTGTGACTGAACGTGTCAAAAGTGGTTTGCAAAGTTTTGTGCCAGAGATTTCTCACTGGATGATGCTCCATGGTTGGGTAGACCAGTTGAAGACAATGATCAAATCAAGAGATTAATTGAGAACAATCAATGTTCTACCACACAAGAGATAGCCGACACGCTCAAAATATCCAAACCAACAAAGTTACTGGTAAAAATGAAAAACATGTCTTTTATTTTATGAAAAAACCATACAGACTTTTTGGCCAATATTACTTTCTTGTGTATCCTTTCAGACATATTCTAAAGATTATATATACAAACCCACACTTAAATATTATATATACAAGCCCTGCCTTTTGGTACACTTAAAAGGGAGGAGAGCACATACACACATCACACTTTGTTCTCTCACTTGTGTATCTTAGAAGTCATTCTACATCAATAGCTTTAGAGCTGCCTACTGTTTTTTAAGGGCTACATAACATTTCACTCCATGAGTATACCATAACTGCTGCATCTTCTTAAAGGTTTTATTTCATTTTTAGAGAAGGGGGAAGGAAGGGAGAAAAAGAGGGAGAAAAGCATTTATGGTTGCCTCTCGCACATCCCCAAACAGGGACCTGGCCTGTATCCCAGGCCAAGAAACAAACAGGCAGGAGACCTTTCAGTTCACAAGACGACACCCAAACGATTGAGCCACACCAGTCAGGGATACCACAGCTTCTTCATCCGGTCCTCTGCCAAAGGACGTTAGTTAGTTCCAACTACTTGTTAGCAAAAATCTCCTCAATGACTATCCAGGTACCTAAATGGCTCAAGGTACCTAAACAATATTCAACAACTAAATAAAATGTTAGTCTAATATCAACAACTATCTTTTGGTATTCTGAAAAAAGCAAAACTCCATCAACTATGGCCGGTGAGGACCAAAAGCCAATAGTCTCCACATCTGTGTCTCTGTCTTCTCATCTGCTCAGAAGAGAGTTCCACCAAGCAAGTGATTTTTAATCAGATCAGTAAATCCCTAGTACTCTTAGTAATGAGCTTGGTAATCCGCCATCCTGACCTACTAACCTGTGCAGAAACTCGTGCCCTTTGTTGTAGGCATGGATGGTGGCGAGGCCTTGCACACTGGAGGTGATGTGGGAGAGGAAAGGGGACTGTGTGATATTGTCCAGACGCTTCAGCTCTCGAATCAGGACCCTGAAGAGAGAACGAGTCCTGTGTCAGAGCGCAGAGAGCAACTCCAGCTCCATGCCCTCTGCCCTGGAGGACACGAACCCTTCCTCTTTACCTGGACACAATGTGCAGAACTGCAAAGAGGATGATGAGGGGCGCCACCGCCACCAGGAACCACGGGAAAACCCCTGCGATCATTCCAACACAGAAGAACACCAGGATGACGTTTTGGATGAACATCTCTGCCTGGAAGGGCAGCCGCACGTCAACTGGGGACACGGTAAAGAAACAAGGGTCAGGCTGTGGGGACCCGCAGACGGGAAAGCAGAACCGGAAATGTGAAAACAGAAGACATTCCCCAGAATCCTATCTGATGTTTATGTGTTGTCTTTTAAATAGTCTGATCAAAGAAAAATCTAGAAACCTGGTTGTCCCAATTTTTCCTGTCCCAAGAAAATTTAAGTATTCTTTCTCCCCTGTGCCCTCTCTTGGGTTCACTGTGCTGCCCGATCCCTTTAAACATTTTCCTCTTCACAAAGTAATATACGCATCATTTTTACTCTTACCAAAACCAACATCATGGAATTGGGGTATTTTCGTGCAAATCCCAGATGTACCAATACCCCTAACTTTATAATTTCAGCCTTTTCTCAATTTGTGTGTGTGTGTGTGTGTGTGTGTGTGTGCGCGCGCTGAGCAGAAATGGAGTCACGTCACACATCAGTTCTGTGTACCAGTGATGGCTTTGGTCCCTTGCTCCCTGTGACCAAGGCTTTGCACTGCTTACCAGCATCTGGAATGAACTCCAATGGGGGCAGCACAGTGCAGGAAAAATATTAGCTCTGGGGTCAGAAAGATCTGGGCTCCATGCCTGGTTTTGTTATCTAATAGCTGTACGATGCTGGGCAGATTATTTACCCTTTCTAGACATCCAATTTCTCATACGTTCAGTGGGTGAAGCAGTACTCACTGCATGGGGCTGCTGTGAGGACTAGGATGAGGCATGTGGGATGTTCAGCACACAGTAGGCCCTCAATAAATGGCGGGTGGGTTACTGACAGTCTGGGCTCTGGGAAGTATCTAGGTTCTGGTGCTGACACAGCCCCTGCAGCACCAGAAAACCTGCCAGAGGCTGGCTGTAGGTGTCCAGAAAGCAATGAACTACACCCAGAATAAATATGTTTTGAAATCTCAGATGCCCCTGGTCCAAAGCCTTAATACTAACTCAATCCTCTGAATTTGTTTTCAGGTTAAATAAGATTAAATGAAAACTTAGATGAAAGGTGAAAAATCAGATGGGTCCTCCGCCTGAATTTAAGTTGCATCCTGGGGGAAATGCCCAGACAGCAGTGTTCCTAGAACAGAAACCAGCAGCCACTGCGCTTCTCGAAATCTCAGGTGGACAGATGTGCTTATCCAGAAATGCCATCGAGAAGGCTGGAGGGCACAGCGAGCAGGTGGTGAGCAATACCTTCATCCATGTCTCTGGAAAACCTGTTGAGAATCCTCCCGGTGGGGGTAGTGTCAAAAAACTTCATAGGGCTTCGAAGGATCCTTCGGAACAGCTCATCATGGAGCCGAGAGGAGGCTCGCAGTGTGCCCTAAGGAACAGAGCACAAAGTGATCAGGGGCCCTGGCCCAGGGACATGGGCAGACTCATGGCCCAGGGACCCACCCCCCAAACTGGAGAAGGCCCGATGGCCACAGAGGAAGGTGGGAGCTGTTAGAAAAAGGCCAAGGCTAAAGGGATACAGGTCATTTCAGAGAAGGCCATTATGTTTCAAAGGAGCTCCCCTCTTGCAAATAAACCTGAGAGAGAGCTCTCTCACCAGGGTGCGGCGGAGTGGAGGCTGTCACTGCATACCTTGACAAAGACCACTCCTCGGACGGCTTTCAGGACCAGCATGACCACCATGGAGAGGGCGTAGACACTGGCATAGTACCGCATGTGAGGGTTGTCCTTCATGCTGCTGCTCACAGCGGTCTTGTTCCCGTGAGTCACTGTGGTGTTCTGTTTGGAGGCAAAGCTTGGTGAGGCAGGGCTCCTAAAAACTGCCAAGAACCCCACTAAGGGCCTTTCTCAGCTCAAAGGGAGGGTGCAGGGTAATCACTCTGGGACCTGGTGCAGCAAACACTAGGAGAGCTCTGGCCCCCCCCCACCTTCTCTCTCTTTTTTTAATGGATTTAAGGGCAGGGAGCCCACAGGTGTGCTACTGATCAGCTCTGCCACTTCTTTTTTTAAATTATTTATTTATTTATCTTTAGAAGGGAAGGGAGGGAGAGAGGGAGAGAAACATCAATGTATGGTTGCCTTTGGTGCGTCCCCTGCTGGGAACTGGCCTGCAGGGAACTGGCTTGCAACCCAGGCATGTGCCCCGACTGGGAATTGAAGTGCGATCGCGTGGTTCGCAGGCCCACGCTCAATCCACTGAGCTACACCAGCCAGGGCCAGCTCTACCACTTCTTGAGTTGGTCAGGGAGTAAGTGTCTTGTGAGGTTGCATTAGAGACTCATCTTTTTTATCCTGGGTCGTGACCCTTGTTCAACCAGGGTGAACTTTTAATTAAAAATTGTGTCTTTTAGGCCCTGGCTGGTGTAGCTCAGTGGATTGAGCACGGGCCTGCAAACCAGACAATCACGGTTCAATTCTCAGTCAGGGCACATGCCTGGGTTGCAGGCCGGTTCCCCGCAGGCCAGTTCCCAGCAGGGGACACATGAAAGGCAACCATACATTGATGTTTCTCTCCCTCTCTCCTTCCCTTCCCCTCTAAAGATAAATAAATTTAAAAAAATTGTGTCTTTTAATTAAAAACTAGTTTCCTTAAGCATGGCCAGGAAATATGGACAGATGGCCATATTCTTCAACATATAATTTTCCCACTAATGAATTAACTTACCCCACTTCCTTCCTTGATCCAGTAACTCAACCACCAGTTGCTGAAGGCAGTACTGCCCACGTTCAACATGAAAAGGGATATAATGAACAGGAAAGCCAAGGGGCCCCCCGCAGCCTGGATGTAGACGCCATACACTGACCATGGCACTGAACCCTGCCCCTTCTCTTCCACTTGCACCAGCTGCCCTGGGTGAGAAAGAAAGAAACACGAACTCAGAAGGAAAGAGCCACTTTTCCAAAATTAGGTCGCCTACAAAAGAGCAAAATCAAAGAGAGCTTCTAGTTTCACAAATCAGAATTATTTCCTCTTTATCAGTGCATTCATTCATCCATTCAACATTTACTAAGTACCCCTGTAAACAGGCCCAGGATGAGGTCCTAGAGCAGGGAGGAGGAGTAAGATCAGGCCCCACCCGTGAGATCCACCTGAGGATCCTTCCAAAGTCCATTACATTTGGCTCAATAAGCACATAATGGTACTAAAATGCATTCGATACAAGGCCAGAGCTATATGCAGGGCAGCAGGGAACATCCAGGAGGTGTATCTAACCTACCTGGGGGATGGTGGGGTGGTGAGCAGGGAGGTGTCAGGGAGTCTTTGTGTGTAGTACATACTGCCCCTTGAAGGTCAGTGAGAATCAGCCAGGTGGGGAAATAGGAAGCAGAGGAGATAATGTTAACACTGGCGGAGAGGTGGGGAGACAGCCAGACAGCAAGGACAGATGATGGAACCTGCATGGCTGGAACAGGATGTGTGTGCAGAGAGTGGCAAGGAATGGGGCCAATTAGGCAGGCTGCAGCCAGAAGTACTTGAACATTATCCCTCAGACAGGAACTTCTCAAGAGAATGGGCTCCAGGGGTGTGGAGAGTTGACCCTCCCCCACCCCCGCAGCCCTATTGGGCTAGATGGGCCTGGGGTGGCCAGACCAGTCACCTGCAGCAGACACCCGTCTCCTCCGTGCATCCCAGTGTCCCACACAGATGTCATTTTCTCTGTGAGCCACATCAGGAAAGAGATGAGAAAACACTGCTTTGAAAATGGGAGGAGGCCACCAAAAGACTGTGCAGGAAGGTGAGCTGGTTGGTCCCGTTTTCCGCTCTATCTCCCAACTGTCAGCATGGCACACAGACAGCTGGGACACTGGGCGGGAATGAAAAAGGCCACACCAGGGTCATGGCCTTGGAGTGGAGTCTCAGGAGGCACACACACGGGAGGAGAGATTCGGGGATGGCTCCCAGGTGAGGCCAGGTGAGGCCAGGTGAGTGATGCTGAGATGAGACTACAGGGAAAGGGACTGACAGGAGACTCCTTTCTCTCATCACACACCTTTAACTGCCTTGGAACAAGCCGCACAGGCCGGGGGCACTTTAACAGTTGCAGGTGTCCAGGCTGAGTGGCTGCGTAGATAAGAACAAATATTCCCTAAGGATATTCTGGTTTTATACTGCCTCTGGCAGGAACTGACAGGTGTCTCCGTCTTGTGCTGTGTTTGCTCAGTGTGTATGTAAATAAGCTATCTGAAGTCACGCCTGAGTTCAAAATTGAAATCTGGTTTATTAAAAGAAAAAAAAAGAGGCAGAGAATGGTAAACTAGGAGGCTCAACTCCTAACACCAAACACCTGTTGCAGTTTTACGACCAAAGAAGTGAAAACAGCGGCAACCCCAGGATTCAAAACCTCAAATACTTCAAACCTCAGGCTCCAAGCCTCAGGTGAGGAGGTGACACAAGAGAAAGAGAACTTCAAAACAGGCCTGTGGGGGCCAGGGCTGGGGGTGGGCAGGGGACTGAGTGGGAAAGGGAAAAAATACAATAAAAAATAAATAAAGTTGAAAAAAACTAAACACAAAACAGGACTGCATTCATTGGAGGGGAGAGAAGGTGGCAAACTGACTTGCAATTAAAATTCACCACAATGAAAATATCGGCTGTAAATCACTTCTTTCTCCCGAGACTTGTTCCAGTTAAGATACAGCGCTGAAAGACCAGGATTGTGCACAGGGAGCGGCAGGTGGGGAAAGCCCTAGGGGTCACTCCTTCCCATGGCTCTGGGCCAGTCTCCGAGGAGTGTGCCATTCTAACCGGGGGCTGCTGAGAACACAGGAACCCTTGGAGCTGGAACCCCTTTGCCGTGGTTGGCACTGACTTTGAAAGAGCAGAGGTGAATCACAGGAAGGAAGGATATACTTCTGCCCACCATTCGGTCTTCCCGTATGCAGGTGACTCAGCTACCATTACCTGTACCTGCCCGGCCCTGCCCTGCGTGGGAGGAGATAGGATCAAAAGGCTTTCTGATTGCCTTGGTCTGTTGTTAAGGAAACAGAAGGTGCCTCTGGGTCTCCTGATATTAAGGAAGAATTCTGTTATTGCAGGAATATAAGGCCAGATACTCTGCAAGCACACAGTGCTGTCAAACATCATGAATCACACATGGTGCAACTGCCGACATGCTTTAATGACAAATCTAAAATCTCAGAAAAGGTCATTACCTTCCTCTGGCTTTACTGCTTTCTCCTTCTTTACTGATCCGGTTTTAGGACCCTTGTCTTGCGATTTCTTCTGTGAGCCACTGGTTTCCTTTTTGGAATTAATCTAATATTTAAAAAAAAGTGTCTCCAGTTATGACACAGCCATTCAGACAAATGTTCACAGTCATACTACAGGATCATCTATCAAGGGGCTGCTATTACTGAAGAGAGACACATCCGACTTCTTAATAGGGCCACCGACACTTCTTTCTTGTACTTTCTCAACTCCTTCGGTCTTTGAGACCTGGGTTCCTACCCTGTTGACATTGCTCTCAAAGTCACAGAAGCCCCAAACTCCCAACACAGCAGTAGCCTTTCTGTCCTCATTTACTCCTACTGGTCCAAAGGGTTAGGCAGGGGTCATTTCCATTCCTCCCGTCTCTGATCCTCACATCACTGAATAAACTCAGAGATGTCCCACTGCCACCACAGGACACCCTCCGACTCTCCAGTTTGGCTTTGGGAGACCTCCACATTCGGGCCCCCGCCTACCTGCAAGTTCCTCTCCCCTTCCTGGGGCTGCTCCTCTGATTTCCCGCCATTCCCCCTATCACCATGACTTCCCACTTCTGTTCCTTTGTCCACACTGGTTCTTCACTGGGAATGACCCTCCCCTTGTCCCAAGGCAGTCACAGGCACCCCCAGAGTCAAATCTTACACCCTCCCTGAGGCCACTCCAAACTGTCTAGGCAACTTGTTAGTAGGAGTCTATCAACAGCACAGTTGCGGTAAATGTGATCTGGTGCAAGAGCACAGCACCCTGGTCTTCCCTAGGACACAGTGGAGGTTGGGGGGCGGGGTGGGGATGATGTCTCACTCACGGTTATAACTCACACAGGGCCTAATACCCAGAACCTCCCCTAACAGGGCACAGAGGAACTTAGTGAGCATTCATCAAATAGAACCTGAGAGATTAGGAACTATTTAATGTTCTCCTAGATTACGCTTATATCTTTATACAGAAAATTCTCTTAACATAGTTTACTACATTGCATTCTATGTCATGGTCACCCTCATTACCGTGGGTTGCTCTCCAACTAGACTTTTAAAATTGACAGTGAAAAAAATCACAAGACGTATAAAATTTAGAGCCACACCTGGAACACAAGTCAGGACTCTAAATTCTATAGTTACTGCCATACATGAATAAATGCACTGTCTAAAAAGAAAATTACTATTTGCTGACCACTTACTAGAGTAAGGACATTACATGTTTCATTTAATTGATGCAACAAATTAATTAAATGGCAGGTCCCAGCCCCTTTTTCAGATGAGGAGATGGAAGCTCAGGAGAGCTAAGCGACAAACTAAAAGCATGGTCCTCCACTACAGCTCATCGACTCTCGAAGTCTACTGTCCTGTGGACGTTTTACGTTTTACCTTCTCTTCCTCTCATTTCCCCTCCACGTCTACAGTGAGGAGAACTAACCAGGAGAGTACTCTGAGGGTCACAGGGAGCAACCATTAACCCAAATCTGCATCAGGGCGTCTCTATGGAAGTCACTGATGCCACTTGGAATGTCTGAGTTACTCCAAAAGGCCAAAAACAAATCGGTCCCAAACAGTCAGTTGTACTGTACCTGAAATCAGACAGGATGACACCCAAATGTTCCCAGAAACGATCCCAATAATTTCCTGCTTTTATCCCTCTCAGCCAAATGACCTGATAGCTAAGAAAAAAGCTTCTGGCCCAGCCTGAGTGTACCCCTAGGACCCAAGATGACCACCCAATAAGGAGTTTGTATGAGAGCAGGTTGGTGAGAAGGAAGCACAAGCTCCTTGGCTGACTGTAAGTTAAGTCCACCCTCATGTTTGCCTAACTCAGAGCCAAGAGTAAAGCCATGGAAAACTGCCATCTTTCTGTGTGGCCACGGTGGGCAGGGCAGAGTGGCAGAGAGAGCACTTTAGAGTCAAAGTGTCCTTGTTAGTGTTAAAAAGAAACGGCCAGACTTCTGGCCAGGATGGAGGCGTAGGTGGAAACACTGTACCTCCTTGCACAACCAAAAGTAAGGACAACAAAAATTTAGAAACAAAAACACAACCAGAACAGACAGAAAATTGAACTGTACGGAAGTCTGACAACCATTTAACCAGACAGTAGGAGGGGCGGATTTGGCGGCCGGCAGAGAGGGGTCACGGCAGAAAAAGGCAGTGGCAGCCAGAGCTGGGAGTGCAGGTGGCACAGGGCTGATTGCAGGCACACATTCGAGCCCAGATAAACTAGGCAAAAACAGGCAGTGAGACAGACCATGCAACCCAGGGCCCCAGAGATGGGAAATAAAGCCTAAAAGCACCAATTGAAAAGGTGCCGGCCTGTGGAAAAGGAAGCAGCAGAAGGGACTGAAATCCGAGAGATCCTGGAACAGGCGCCATTGCCCCTCTCTGACCCCACCCCCACATATAGCATCACAACCCAGCAACTGGGTTGCCCCAACCTGGTGAACACCTAAGGCTTCGCCACTTATCTGTAACAGGAGCAACCTGACCAAAAATTGCTCAGTCAGAAGAACAAATCAACCTGGCTGGTGTAGCTCAGTAGATTGAGCACAGGCCTGCGAACCAGAGTATTGCAGTTCAATTCCCAGTCAGGGCACATGCCTGGGTTGCAGGCCAGTTCCCAGCAGGGGACACATGAGAGGCAACCATACATTGATATCTCTCCCTCTCTCCTTCCCTTCCCCTCTAAAGATAAATAAATTAAATCTTAAAAAAAAAAAAAAGAACAAATCAAAGCCCCAGAGCCAATACTTTTTAAAAAAAATTTAAATTTTATTTATCCTTAGAGAGGAAGTGAAGGAGAGAGGGAGAGAAATATCAATGTGTGGTTGCCTCCCGTGTGTCCCCTGCTGGGAACTGGCCTGCAACCCAGGCATGTGCCCTGACTGGGAATCGAACCACAATCCTTTGGTTCGCAGACCTGCGCTCAATCCACTGAGCTATACCAGCCAGGGCAAAGATTTTATCCATTTCTCTTTTTTAAAGATTTTATTTATTTATCTTTAGAAGAGAAGGAAAGAAATGAGGGAGAGAAATATCAATGTATGGTTACCTCTTGTGCATCCCCTGCTGGGAACTGGCCTGCAACCTAGGCATGTGCCCTGCCTGGGAATTGAACCGCGATCCTCCGGTTTGCAGGCCTGCGCTCAATCTACTGAGCTATACCAGCCAGGGTCAGAACCAATACTTTTAAGTGACCAAGAGATAGCCAACCTATTAGCTGCACAGTTCAAAACACTGGTGATCAGGATGCTCACAGAACTGGTTGCTTTTGGTAGCAAATTAGAAGAACAAATGAAGGCTACACTAAGTGAAATGAAGGAAAATGCACAGGAAACCAATAGTGATGGAAAGGAAACTGGGACTCAAATCAATGGAGTGCACCAGAAGGAAGAAGAAAACAACCAATCAAAAAAGAATGAAGACACAAAAATTCAAAAAAAATGAGGAGAGGCTTAGGAACTTCCAGGACATCTTTAAATATTCCAACATCTGAATTATAGGGGTACCAGAAGGGGAAGAAGAGCAACAATGGAAAAGTTATTTGATCAAATAATAAAGGAGAATTTCCCCAATCTGGCAAAGGAAATAGACTTTCAGGAAATCCAGGAAGCTCAGAGTCTCAAAGAAGTTGGACCCAAGAAGGAACACACCAAGGCACATCATCATTACATTAGCCAAGATTAAAATGAAGGAGAGAATCCTAGAAGCAGCAAGAGATAAGGGACAGTCACCTACAAAGGAATTCCCATCAGACTGTCAGCTGATTTCTCAAAAGAGACCTTACAGGCAAGAAGGGGCTGGAAAGAAGTATTCCAAGTCATGAAAGGATAGGACCTACATCCAAGATTGCTCTATTCAGCAGAGCTTTCATTTAGAATGGAAGGGCAGATAAAGTGCTTCTCAGATAAGGTCAAGTTCAAGGAGTTCATCATCACCAAGCCCTTACTATATGAAATGTTAAAGGGACTTATCTAAGTAAAAGAAGATAAAAAATACGAACAGTGAATGAACAGCAAACTCACAGTTATTAACAACCACACCTAAAATAAAAGCAAACTAAGTGAACACCTAAAACAGGAGTGGAACCACAGAAATGGAGATCGCATGGAGGGTTAGCAACAGGGGAGTGGGAGGAGGAGAAGGGGGGAGAAGGTACAGAGAATAAGTAGCATAGATGGTGGGTAGAACATAGGGAGAGGGCAAGAATAGTATAGGAAATGCAGAAGCTAAAGAACTTATGACACATGGAGCAGAGGAAGCAGAGGAAGGTGGGTGGGAGAAGGTGTGCAGGGTGGAGGGGAATGAAGAGGGGGAAATGGGACAACTGTAATGGCATAATCAATAAAATATATTTAAAAAAAAAGAAACGGCCAAAATGGAGTCACTTTTGCTAAGCCACACCAGGACTTGGTACCTAACCTAAGTGCAGTTTTATCCTCTCCTAGGAGTAGGTCTGGAATTTCCTGATCAACATTAGTAAGGCAAAGTGCCTGATAAAACCCTCTGCCTTCCCCTAAGGGAAAACAAACTTTGCATGAAATAATCCACTCTTTTAAATCTCCTTGCCCCATCTTCTTTCTGTCTAAGGAAACTTTTTATTTTGTAACACTCCTGGGAGCATCCTTCTAAATTGCTAGTTAGGTTGCTGCTCAATTCACGAATCACTCAATAAAGCTAATTAAATCTTCAAATTTACTGGGTCGAAGTTTCCGATTTAACACTAGTGAGATGCTTAACTCTTCTGAGCTTCCATTTCCTCAGCTGTAAAAGTGAGGAACGATCGACCCTATGTTGCTACAGAGCTCTGTTTAAATGACTAACTAGGACGACATCTGTGACGCGTCCACTCCAGCAACGAGGACACAACTGTTGTGAGTGCCAAGTCAGCAGCCTGGACACCACGGGTCCACGGGTTATTTTCAAATGCATACAATGTTTAATTTCTCCTTCCTGGCTCCTTAGTCACTTGTTTATTAAAAAAGGAGCTTCATATGCTTCAATCAGGATTGAGGGAGTTTTTGAAATGAAACTGTAATTGAACAACACACTGTGGACCCTATAAAAAATTTCACTGAGAGGAACTTCGCAGAGTGACCTAAACATTAATTCCTAATTCCTAACTGGGCAAGTCTCTTGGGTACTAATGCCCCAGGCCTGTACCTTCTTTGGTAAAAGCTTTAAACCGGCCCTGTCCATTGTCCTTGAGCATCTAGGTTAACGAAGCTTTGAAATGCCAGAGTAATCCCGTTCCCCAGACCCCTGTACAGCTCAACTGCCCTAGAGAGAAGTATCATCTAGTTAACTGTTATGTAATCTAATCTCTGCCTTGCTCCCCCCATATAATCTTCTCTAAACTCCTTCCTTAATTCCAAATGCATAAAAGAAACTGCGAACTGTCATTCTCCAGAGCATTTGAGATCTTACTTCCCAGCAATGTCATCCGTATGGTTCAAATAAGCTCATACAAACTCTCTACAGGTTTGGTCGTTTCTGAACCTGGCAACACACAGAGCCCACATTGTTCCTCCCCGTCACTGCCTTGTTAACAAGTTCTCCATGACAGAAGAACTCGGCTCGCCAGCCCCACAGCCCTGCTCTCCTAGACTAGAACTAGCATGTAAACTAAAGCACAGCAGGCTGGCTGTCAGAGAATAGGGCCCTGCCTGTAAGACACGGGCACTGAATTCAGCCGCCATCCGGCTGTCTTAGTAAGGTCACACCTCCCTGGTGAGAAAGGTGGCGATGCGAACAAACGCCATGTGCTTCTTACCTCAACTGGGGGTGTCTCCCCCAGCAACAGGTTATTAAAAATGGTGGCATAGTCACCATTTAGATTCATCAATTCCTCATGCGTGCCCCTTTCTGTAATGCAGCCCTCTTTCATGAAGATCACTTTGTCGCAGTCAGCCAGGTACTAGAGGTAAGGGCAGGGATAACACAGTGTTGTTGATATTTGTGCAAATAGTACGATCACTCAGACCTCAGTCTAGTGGTTCTCACTTGGAAGCGATGGAGCCCGCCAGCAGACATCTGGCACTATCTGGAGACACTGCTGGTTGTCACAACCTGGGGAGGGGGAGGTGCCACTGCCACCTAGTGGGATAGAAGCCAGGAATACCCAGGACAGCCCCCCACAGCAAAGAGCTATCTGACCCACAATGTCAACAGTACCAAGATTGTGAACCCACTTTAGTTTATTATGTTTTGTGATGTAGTTCATGCAGTTCCTCCAGTTTTTGATATAAATCTACTGGTGGAGCCACAGGAGCCTTGCATTAAACTTCACCCCCTTTTACTACACTCAGGAGTACATGTGTTTACTGACTTTCTGTGGCAGAACAGGGGGTTAACCCCCAAAGCTGACAACACAGGCAAAGCAGGTGGCAACACTCTTGAACTGCTCTCTACAGCAGCTGCTTGTCATGGAATGACAGGGGGAGAAGACCTTGTTTTCCCTAAACCAGTCCCACTTAAATTAACATACTACTTTCCAGACGATCTCAGACCCAAATTCTATTTTCAGCCTACCCCTTCTACTTACTGACTTCTATATAGAAGCTAACTTCTATGTAGATCCACTCCAAGGATCTCTGCCATCTGGTGCACTGGTACAACAAAGTTTTATTGTTACAATGGGCCAGTCAGCTATTTGCTGAGTTCATAAATAGTCATGGTTCCAGAATTTCTAGGACACCACAAAGGTACCAAGAAGGACTAAGCGCTACTCGCTGGTTCTGATTTCTCAAGCCACTGTGGGCAGCCTGGGGAAGGAAGAAAGCACCATACCTGTAATTGGTGGGTAACGAAGAGAACTGTCTTGGACTTGAGGTGCTTCTGAATAGCACTGTTGAAGATGTGGTTGCCCACATGGGCATCTAAGGCACTGAGGGGGTCATCCAGGATGTAGATGTCCCGGTCACTGTACAAGGCCCGGGCAAGGCTGATCCTTTGGCGCTGCCCACCACTCAGGTTGGCTCCTCGCTCACCAATCTACAGGAGCCCAGAAAGCACAGTGAGGCCGCCAACTCAAGTTCAGAACTGGGCTTAGTGATCATCCCAGTCACTGCTCCTCTCCTCCCCCTCAAACGGCTCCTTCTACTTAACTCCCCACCTGGGTGAGCAGCCGCTATGATCCACCAGGGCCCACACCGGACCTGGAAGAATCAGCCCAGATGCCTCCTCCTTTCCCACAACCAGCTGGTTACTGATCAGTCCTACCTCTGGCCTTGCCACTCCCCATGGACACCACTTTCCTGTCCATTTTCTATGGGCAGAATGAGCTTTCCAAAACACAAAGCTGACCATGTCCCACCCTAACTTAAAACTCTGCAAGGGTCCAGGACAGAATCTAAATAACCAAACGTGGTGCACGAAGCAGCTTCCCCAGCAGCTCCCAGCTTCCTCGGCAATCCCCTGGCACACCCTGGGATCCAAGCCATTTTAAATACTGTACATATTACAGACACATGTAACTGTTATCATGCCTTCTCCTGTACTGTATCTGTTCACTTTTGGCATCCTCTCCTCTACCAAACACGTCTGCCTCTTATTCCCTCATACTCAAAAGAGAGGGGCCTCTTTCATCAGCTTATGTTGTGCCTCGCGTGTATCTCATCTTGTCAACTATAAGCTTTCTGAGGGTGCATGTGACTGTCCTGTTTATTTACAGTCCCAATGCCCAGGAGAGTCTGCAAGTGTTGCTGGCACACAGCAAGCACCTGATAAATGTTCCCTGATAAATGGACAGATGAATACATCTGTTACCAAGTGGTGTTACCAAGTGGTGACTGGCTTTGTAATATTAAAAAATCTTGTCCTTAAAAAAACATTCAGCTAATTCAAAGGTTTGCAAACTTGAGCAGGGATCAGAATTACCAGCAGGGCTTGTCAAAACAGGTGGTTGGGCCTCACTGCTAGTTTCGGGAGTTCTGGAGTGGAGGCTGGTCATTTTCATTTCTAACCAGTTCTCAGTGTCACTGACATTGCAGATCTGGATTAGCCTGTACACTAATCAACACATTCACCAAATGTGGTTTGAGGAATTTTACTGAAATCAACAGAATAAAAGCACCTGCCCCAGAGACTTCTGGAGCTGGTCAGGGAGATGTCTCAGGACTCAGAACGCCAGTTCCCAAGGTGCCCCTATGGGAACCACGCCCAGGCAGGGAGCCACAGATGGGTTTGTGTGGCAACCTCTTTCTACCTCTCCTTTTCTAAAAAAAATATTTTATTTATTTATTTTTAAAGAGAGGAAAAGGGAGGGAAAAACGTTAATGAAGAGAGAGAAACAGCAATAGGTTGCCTCTTGCACGTGCCCTGACCAGGGACCGAACCTGCAACCCAGGAGTGTGCCCTGACCGGGAATTGAACAAGGGCAACGGGGGCAACCTTTCCCTTTGAGGGACGACGCCCAACCCACTGAGCCACCTCAGTCAGGGCGGCAGCGGCCTCCTTTCTAAAGGAAGGGGGCTCTCCACAGACTGCATCCGGGTAAGCAGGTTGGCAGAACGCAGTTCAGGGAAGAAGCTCAATATGTACATGCTCGACTCACGGTTTCAAAAGTGAACAGTTCAGAAACCAGTAACTCTGAACCAGCAACGAGCTATTGTTATCCACCTGACATATGAAATATTGACAAGCTTAAAACCCAGGGTGTTGATATCCCTGCCCTACAGCACACATGCTTGCCTAACATAAAGTCCCAGTGAAAGTGAATCTCACTGTGTAGGCTCATTTCCCATGTATTTGAGATGCACTCCTAGGAGGCGGCTCTGGCATAGCCCTGACGCCCACTTCCAGAATCCTCTCTGCTAAGTACACACCCAGTCAGGACCACAAAGCTTGTACCTCAGTCAGGTCACTGTTGGGAAGAATGGCCAGGTCGGGCCTCAGGCAGCAGCTGTTCAGCACAGAGTTGTACCTGAAGGACATAAAGAGACTCAGCATCAGGGACGTGGCTGGGGCAGAGCCTGCTGACTTGGGCTGCCTTGCGTCTCACGTGGCCAAGACAGAAAGCATGGAAACCAAACACTCCTTGCCTTTCTTCATCAAATTCCTTCCCAAACAGGATGTTGTCTCTCAGAGTGGCATTGAGGATCCAGGCCTGCTGGGCCACGTAAGCGAAGGTTCCACTGGCTGCGATGCTGCCCTCCAGGAGTGTCATCTGCGGAGACGGACACCATCCGATGGTGTCATAATGCAAAACCACCACTCTAAGCCAACAGAAGCCCCCACATTCCACAGTGAAGTTGAAAATTTTGGCAATTTCCTTGGATGCTTTTTGGACCCCAAACCAGACTTCACCTTTGTTCCACAGAGCTACAGCAGCAAAGAAAATCAAACTCTCTCTGCTGGTTCGCTCAAGTCATGGGAACCCAGTACAACCCATGATCTGAACGAGCCAGCACTTCATTGAGCAACCTATAAGCTACTTTATATCCTTCCTTCCTAACTGCAAACTGTTTTAATTAAGGGAAGCACAGGCAGAAGGCCCTTTCAGAATCCCCTGGGGAGGATGCTATAAGGATTTACAGCCTCAACTTCAGGGCAGGCCAGTTCATCTCCGGAATTAATCCAGGCTACTGGCTGGATCAGCTGACACTGAAAAATGAGGACCAAAGGGAAAAAACTTCCAGTTAGACATCAACTAATATTCAGAGAATCTGTACAATGATGGCGACCCCACCCCACCAACATGAAGAAAGTACATGATGAGCCATTCGCTTTGAATTGCCTTCTTAGTCACAGCAGTTGATAGGAATTGATTTACCCATTCTATCTTCATTCAGGATTCCTTTTGGGACTGACACTTACAATCTGTCTTGGGTCGGGGCTGTTACTAGTTTGGCCAAAAAGTCCGTTAGGTTTTTCCCCAGACGATGGCTCTGATATGCTTAGTTGTCCCTGACTTCATGTAAAACAATTTTGTTAGATTGTATTGTGACAGCTATCATTATGCGTTGAAAAAAGTCTATCAAAACTGGTGAATTTTTGTACAGCCATTTTCATATTGAAGATGGAAGAAGATACGCCACATTTTCGGCGTATTGTACTTTATCATTTTAAGAAAAGGTAAAAATGCAACTGAAACACACAAAAAGATTTGTGCAGTGTATGGAGAAGGTGCTGTGACTGATTGAACATGTCAAAAAGTTTGAGAAGTTTCTTAGTACTATTAAGATTTGGGCCAAATAACTCTTTGCTGTGAGGCTGTCTTACTCACTGGAAGATGTTTAGCAGCACCCCTGGCCCCTGCCCACTAGAAGCCAACAGTGGGAGAGAGCCGACATTGCTATTAAGGGGTGGGGATAGAGTGGGGGAAGGGGGAGGAGAGTTGCAGAAAAGGGTTCATTTTCTTTCTACCTTTCCTGATTCTCTCCAGGAAATAAATTCATTCTTTCTGAGACTATTCCAAAGCAGAGTCCAGAGAAAGAAGCAAAAAATGCCAAGGACAATAAACAAAATCTTACCTGGCCTAAAATGGCTGAAATGAGAGATGTTTTTCCACTTCCCACACTGCCACAGATTCCAACAAGTTTACCCTGGAAAAAACCAGAGCGAGAGGGAGGTCATTAAAGGACTACCGGCCACTCATCTCCGGGGACCTCCGACTTCTTCGAGGAAAAACACATTAATTACAGTCCATCAATATGGAAACTGCCTTCCTGAGCACCAAGCAAGTCCCTGACCTCTACTCCCCCGCCAGCCACCTGCTCCATAGGGGCTTCAAAAGGATCGGGCACCTTTCCTACTTTGTTGGTAATCCGTGTTTTTTTTATTGTTTACTTGGTTGTTATTTTTGGAAGAGAGAACTCAAAAAATTATTTTACTATGATTTTTTTCTTCAGGGCCTATAAATTATTTTCAATAAAAACTGTGTGTACTATTGCTTCCATTTTTTTCCTGTTAAACATTTCCAAGAATCTGAGGAGTATCTCTGCCCATTCCTACATAAGAATGGAAAAGCAAGCCTGTAATTAACTGAAAATCCTCAGGCAAAATAAATGAGTTCTCAATGGGCATTGTTAAAAGTTCTTAAGAACAGATGATTTTAACATGGCCATCTGTTTAGCAACCTTGTACTGAATGAAGTCTTACAGCAAAGGAAGGAATGAAGAGTGGTGGTGCAGAAAGAGCACGGACTCCGGCCCTGACTGGTGTGGCTCATTGGATTGGGTGCCAGCCTGCGAACCAAAGAGTCACCAGTTCGATTCCCAGTCAGGGCACATGCCTGGGTTGCTGGCCTGATTCCTGGTTAGGGGTGTGTGAGAGGCAACTGATCCATGTATCTCTGGCACAGTGACGTTTCTCTCCCTTTCTCCTTCCCTTCCCCTCTCTCTAAAAAAAAAAACAATAAACAAAAAGAAAGAGCACAGACTCTGGAGGCAGAGAGGTCTTGCTCTGAATATCAATACCACTAGCATTTGCCAATTATTTGATCTTTGCCTTGTTACTTAAAACTAATGCTGTCTCTCTCTCGAGGGGCTTTGAGCAGCTTGAGGAACGGAGTTACCCTTGTAGAAGCAAGTAGTGTCCAGTACTTAATAAAAATATGTGGCACAAAATGTTTGAGGTGGTCCCAGAGTTTGAGAGATTACAGCCTGGTAGTAATGAGAGGACCCAAACCACAGGTTCAGTCTCCGCTCCAGTTAGGTTTTCACAAAGAAAACGCTGTTCTGATGACTAAAAGGTGACTGAAGAAGAGAGCACCAGTGAAGTGAGTGAAGATACTGGAAAACATTAAGTTCCCTTCCACTCCCTAAAGAGGAGGGTGGGGCCCTGGCTGCTGCGGCTTCAGTGGATTTAGCCCACACCTATGGACCGAAAGGTCGCCAGTTCAATTCCTGGTCAGGGGCACATGCCTCAGCTGCCAGCCAGGGCCCCAGCTGGGGTGTGTGAGAGGTGACTGACTGATGTTTCTCTTGCACATGTTTCCCTCCCTCTCTTTCTCCTTCCCTTTCCCTCTCTCTAAAAATAAATAAATAAATACTTTTTTTTTTTTTTAAGAGGAGGGTTGGGAGAATTGTGGTCTCTCTTCAAAGAGCTAAAGCTCTGTGAATCTGGGCTCTAAAAGGCAGAATGAGATCAATACATAGTAAGCAGGCGAGTAAATTTCCAGCAACTATGGGGACTGATCCTCTAACAGCTGATTAGCAACCTGATAGAGCTGCCTCAGTAATCAAGATGATCGTTATTCAACAAGAAGCCTGTTCAGAGTTAAATAAAGTAAAAAAGTGACTTGAATGCCCCCCAACAACCACTAGTTGTTTCTAGGGGTCTCGCCAAGGCCACCTCCCCCTCCCAGGTGTCACTTTCAAGAGCTGGGAGCTTTCCACACTCCCTGCAGTCTAGCTCAGGATCCATGTGCTGCACCGACTAGATGCACACCCAGCACTCCCCGCTTCCAGTTATGTGGGTAAATGCTTCTCATCGCTGCCCTTGGCCCAAGGCACCCCAATGTTTCTCCTGGGTTAACTGTTCTCCTTGCCTCCTTCCTCGTCTGCCTACATCCTCTTCTGAATCCAGAAGCTAGAATGTTTCTCTCATATTAAGTCAGATCACGTTATTCTTCTGCTCCAAACCCTCAACGGCTTCCCTGCCCACAAAAGTAAAGCCAAAGCCTCCATCCTGGGCATCGACCACGCTCTCCCACGCCCTGCTCCAGCCACAGCCCTCAGGGTCTTCGAGCTTCTGTCCGGGATGCTCTTCTTCCCTCGGAACCACATGACTCTTCCTCACTCCCTTCGGGGCTGCGATCAAATACTACTTTTTAAACAAGGCCTTTCCACTCAGGCCACCTATTTAAACTGCCACCACACCTGCTCCCTGCCCCAGCCCTCTCTACAGCCTTTTCCTCACAGCCCGTATCTCTATCTGACATATAATATACACAGCGGTCTCCCCCTCCTCGGTTTTGCTGGCTGTGGTTTCAGTTACTTGCAGTCAACTGTGGTCTGAAAATACTAAATGGAAAATTCCGGCAATAAACTATTCTTAAAATTTAAATAGCGTGCTGCTCTGGCTAGTGCGATGAAACCCGCGGCGGTCCGGCTCTGTCCTGCCCTGCACGGGCAATCACCCCTGGTTCAGAGCTATCTACTCTGTACGCGCTCCCTGCCCACCAGTCAGTCCCTCACCAGCCGCCTCTGTTATCGGATCGACTATTTCCACACTGAAGTGCTTGTGTTATTTTACTTAGGAAGAACAAGCACAGCGATGGTGGCAATCTAGATACAGGTTAAAGAGAGCCTGTAAAGTGCTTCCTGGGAGTGAAAAAGTGAAAGTTCTCGATTGAAAAGGAAGGGAAAAAAATTGTATGCTGAGGTTACAAAGATCTACTGTAAGAACAGATCTTCCACCTTGAATTGTGAGGAAGGAAAAGGAAATTTATGCTAGTCTTGCTGTTGTGTCGTAAACTGTAAAGTTATGGCCACAAGTGTGTGGTAAGTGCTTAGCGAGATGAAGGAGGCATTAAATTTGGGGGCGGAGACAGGAGCAGAAAACACATTCCCACGACAGCAACCTACTGTGCCAAATGGCACTGAGCCTGCGTGGAGACCTCAGCAAGGCGTCCCCCGAATCGAGGGACATGTCCTACAAGTAAGGGGCAGTTATACAGACTCAGGAATAGGTTCACACCAAAAAATGTAAAAACTTCTGGAGAAAAGAGACCCACCTCATTCACCTAATTTTTACTATAGAATAGTGCTGTAATTGTTCTATTTTTAGTTATTATTGTTCATCTCTTAGTATGCCTAATTTATACATTACACTTTACTGTAAGTATGTAAGCACATGAAAAAACTACTAGGGTTCATCACTATCTGTGGTTTCCGGGGTTTACACAGGTCTTGGAACATGCCCCCCACTTACTGACTGTCTTTGCCCGCTAGAATGTAAGGCCTAGGAAGGCAGGGATTTTGTTTGGTTGGTTTTTCCCTGCTACGTCCAGGCCTACAACAGTGCCTGGTGCAGAGTTGGTACTCAAAAAAATGGCTGTTAAATAAATGAATATATTACCACTTCTGGGACCCTCTGTACAATGTAGCCCTCAACAGGGTGTTGGCTCCCAGTCATATTCTATATTTTAAAGGCTTGAACTAAGGGGTCTCTGTCCCAGCCACTCTCTAAAGGAGGGCCTCTGAGAGACTCTGGTCCCGTGCCACCTGGGCTGTGATATGATATATGATCCCTTAACATAAGCATCAGAAACAAACAGTTCCCACAGAATCGTCTGTAACAGCAACACTGCAAGTACCTATCACGCTCCAGGTTCTGTGTTGTGCATAGTGTCGTGGTAATGAGATGCTTACACAGGGTTAGAATAACCAGAAATCGTTATTACAGCTCACATACAACTATAATAACCAGAAATCAATTCAGGGCAAAACCTTGGAAAATCCACCTGAATGCTTCATGCTTATACAATGAGTATGTCATGAGGCCAGTTGTAATTCACTTCTATTGTTAAACGCCTAACTATTCCTTTTAGAGGTGGAGCTGGCCAGAATTGCTCAGTAGCTCAAAAATCACTCCCAGCCACAGAAGCACTTTTCTAAAAGGAATGGCAGCTGCCTGCTCTGGCCAGAACAAGCACCTGGTAGACAGACGGGGCGCGGGAGGCTGAGCGGTTACCTCTTCGATTTCCAGGTCGATGTTGTACAGTGTCCTCTGTAAACGGAGGCTCCCCAGGTGGACATGCTTGCCCTCTTCCTCCTCGGGACTGGGCCGTTCATCGCTGTCCAGGAGGAGGTGGCCCTTCTGCTCTGCCAGCACCGCCTGATGCTCAGCGTGCTCCAGCTGCCTCACCTTCTCTTTCTTGCCCCTGGCAGCCCTCTTTTCTTTTTTCGTTTTGGGGGTCAGCTTGGGTGAGTTCTGGATACTGGAGTGGGAGGAGTCCCATGCCAAGGTGGCATTTTTCACCTCTATCTTGATGTGAGGACTGGCTGGTTTTTTCTTTATCATGTGAACCTCTTCCATCAGAAACAAACTCTGATAGGAGTTGTGAGAGAGGTGCAAAGATGAGACACTGGATCAAGACCAGGGAGACAAGCCTAGGGCGTACACTCACGCAGCAAAACACATCAGGCTATACAGTGGAAGGAAGCTGAAGGGCAAAAGGTAGCTCATTAGTGTAGCCCAGCCTCAGGCCCAGCAAGAGGTCACAGGGGTGTGGGGACACCCTCAGGAGGGACAGGGCCTTGTCAGTGGCCCAACGCACTACCAATGACATGCCTTTTCATCTCCTACCAGTCTCATGGGACCAAAAGACATCTAACTAGCCCATATGTGGGTCCTCGTTTTCCCCCAGGAGTTGCTGAGCTGCAGTGGGAAAGTGCAAGCAGAAAAGCTGAAGGGCTCGCTGCTCTCCTATGCAGATGCTCATCGCGCTGCTTCCCTCCCAGACCACTCCCTCGGGGCCTCAGAGCCTGTGGGCTTCCCCCACTCACAGCAGGCACAGGCCTTGGGGGGAGGCTGGGCAGAAACTGTGACCAGGCCCTGCTTGCTCACAGTTCAAAGAAGCGTCTATGGTTTTATCAACGGCAGAGTACACCTTCTTGCCAATAAGCTCTTGTGTCTTCGAAATCCTGCCTTGGAACTTGTGGAAACTCAAAACAACCAAAGGAATGGACTGGGGTGGAAGTGAAGGGTATCGCCCTCAGAAACATCCTTGAGAAGAGGGAACAAAACTCTCCCCCGACTCACTCCCAGAGGCCCACCGAGTTCTATCAGGGGGAGAAAACTGAAACGTGTGAAAAGCCAAGTGTTTCTGAAACACTGACGGAAATGAACCTCAGCTAGGGACGCCGATGCTTCCCTGACTTTGAACCCACTTCTGACAACACTCTTAAACAAGGGATCTTCTCTACAGAATGGCATCCCAGTTGGAGTCCCCATAGGATTTAAAAAATGAATTTTTAAAATAAATTCAAAACATTAGAGAGTCTTTAGAGAAAAGATGACCTGCAGGGTCAGAATTCTCCATTTAGTTACTGAGAACCCCAACTGGTTTGAAGGATGCGGGTGCTATTAAATGTATCAGATATGATATGTTTACAGATATGATAGCACGATACATTTGCTAAATGTGTCAGATAACCCTCTTCCCTAAGAGCAAGCCCTTTCTGCTGGATCCTGAACTTCTAAGCTTGCTCTTTTCCTCCTTTAAATCGCCAGACCTCCTGTTTATTCCTAACCTCCAGTCTTCCCAGAAGTGGCATAGTTCTAAATCTCCTAGCTAAGCCCTGGCTGGTGTGGCTTGATGGACTGAGTGCTGGCCTGTGAACCGAAAGGTCACATGCCTCTGGGTTGCATGCCAGGTCCCCAGTTGGGGGCGTGCAAGAGGCAACTGATAGATGTATCTCCCCACATCAATGTTTTTCTCCCTCCCTTCCCCTCTCTCCAAAAAATAAATAAATGAAATATTAAAAAAATAATAAATTGTGTAGTGTAGCTCAATAATAAACTGTCTAGCGTAGCTCAATGGATTGAGCTCGGGCCTGCAGATCAAAGGGTTGCTGGTTCTCAATTCCCAGTCAGGGCACATGCCTGGATTGTGGGCCAGGTCCCCAGGTGGGGACACATAAGGGGCAACCACACTCTGATGTTTCTCTCCCTCTCTTTCTCCTTCTCTTCCCCTCTCCCTAAAAATAAATAAAATCTTAAAATAAATAAATAAATCTTCAACATAAGAAAAAGAAAGAAAACAAAATAAATCTCCTAGATAATCTTCACACTTACTCAACATAGGTTTAGTTTCTGAAAATAGCAGTTGATTTCACTGGTCCAGGCAGAGCCTTTTCCTCAACTCCACACAGAGAAACCATATGCTGACAGAATTCCCACACTTCTCTCCACTAAAGAGTTACTCAAAGGGCCTTTTAAACCTCAGTGGATTATTTAAAAATGTGCTCGTGCCTCCAGTTTACACAGCTTCTTCCCTGCATTTCCTTCTCATGCCTCCCTGCGGCCCGTGCTCCTCCCAGGAGGATTCCGGCTTCGGGTCCCCTCTGCCTTGGTGTGCTGAGTCACACCACCTGAATGTGTACCTATGTGGGTTCGCACCCGCCAGGACAACAGAATCTTGGAGGTACAGAAACCACATAACTCAACTTCACCACAGGACCCTGGCCATCAAAACACCGCCCTTGTTCACCAGAAGAATCAAATCAGAATGTACCTGTTAAGCATGAGAGGGGTCTACTCAAGGGCTTCCAAGTAACACACATGATGCCTAGTTAAACTGTGATTCCCGAGAAACAATGAATCGTTTTTCACCGTAAGTATGTCCCATGCAACTATTAAATGGGTATCTTGTGTTTCTGTTTGCTAAAGCCGGCAACCCTACACTGGTGACCATTTTATCAGGAAAGTCACGAGGTGTGGCTTCTCACTGCCTCTCTACAGATTATCCCCCTTGTAGAAGGAAGAGAAGGGGAGGGGGTGGCAGAGGATGGGGGCGGGGCAGGGGAGAGGGAGGTTGGGGAGGAGGACACTGTCAAGGGGAATGAGATAGAAAGGGACTGAAGTCTCGTGGGGCATATAATAGAGCTGTGGTGGATTCTGCTTCCATTACTAAGTCCGATGCTTCCTGGGTAGAGGAAGGACTATGCTGAGAAAACCCACTTGCTAACAATGTAAGTCCTCGCTAGTAAGTGAAGACAGCTGTCGAGAAACGAGGAGAGAACAAATCTATACTGCAAACTCCTATTTCTTCACCCGAAATGCCATCAGATCAGCTCACTAACAAGGAAGAGAAAAATTTGCAGCCATTATCATTTGCTTTCTTCCATGACTGGATATTATGGGTTCAGCAAAATAAAGCTCTGGTTACAATGAGACCACTTCTTTTTCGATGGCTGTGGCTCTTCACCTTCTAGCAGCCAGATGGGGTGAGGAAGGGCAGGGGCTGGGGTGCATTCTTAATCCAAATTCACCAAGTTAACCATAAACAAGTAGAGTAGAAATAAATTGGGGAAAGCTATTCCTCATTCTTCTTAAGAGGTAAACCCTATTTGTTTTCTCTCGAACACCTAAGGAGATGCTATTAATCCCTGAAACACCTGCACCTTCCAGCCACCAGCACCACCTGCTTTGCTGCAGGTGTGCAGAAAATCCTCTGCAGTGGCTTTGTCAGAGAGTCCCCGCCCATCCAGGTGCAGTTCCTTTTTTTCTTTTCTTAAGTGTTAACCACTGTCAAATACCCCGCCTCCTTCTACCCTTCCTAATACAGCTCCCACTGGCACCACATATTTCTATTATTCTGAAGGCACAGAGAATCCAGGCAAGCTGTGAACCACCCCAGAAAAAAAAACTGGACACTTAACTGCATTTCTCCACGTAATCTAGTTTTACGACTACCCCATGTCATTGAAGTCCCTCCCTGTATCATGAGTGGCGATCACCGGCCAGGAAAAGGAAAGAATCAAAAAGGCCTCAGCATACTGACCAGTCAGAATGAGGATAGCATTTTGGCGGAGAAACGCAGTTGATCAAGGCGAGAAGAAGCTGACAGTCACCTGACAGTTCTGATCTGGGTCTGAATCCCTTAAAGGCCCAGTAAGTCACACTACACATGTCCACGTCCGATCCGGCAGAAGGGACTAGCTCTGAAGAGAAGCACTGAAATCCGGGGAGCCCAAAACTAGGGGGGCCATCTACAGATGGCGAAAACTCATTTACTGGAAAAGGTGACTAGTTCTATCCCTGAAGTCAGTCTCCTCCACTGCCCCTTTCTTACCAATTTGTCAAAAGGCTAAAAGGGAACAACAGCCAAGGTCAGCCAGCCTGTGTGGCCCACTGGGATAAAGGCAGCAGGTGGTTTTGCCAGGGACAGCTTCTGACGTGGAGGAAGAGAGGGGAGCCACTCACCTTAAACCTGTCGGCAGCAACCGATGCTTCTGAAAGGGATTTTACTGAGAATGGAGTTACTTTCAAAGCAAAAGTCATGGAATTGAAGACAGTCACCACTGTGAAAGCCTGAAAAGAGAAGAAACTGCGGTTGATGATGCTTTGCAACTAAAATCACAGAGGTCATCAACCTCCTTCCAGGTTTAAGGAAGGCTGCCACTTGACTCCCAAATGTTGGTATGAGGCAGATACATTTTTTAAAATCCTCACCTGAGGATATATTTATTGATTTTTGAGAGCGAGTAAGAGAAACATGGATGTGAGAGACACTGATTAGTTGCCTCCCGTCCGTGCCCCAGGGATCAAACCTGCAACTTAGGCATGTGTCCTGATCGAGAATCAAACCTGAAACCTTTTGTTGTACAGGACGATGCTCTAACCAACTGGGCAACCCAGCCAGGGCTGAGTCAGATACATTTTTTTAAAGGTAGAGCTTTTATGAGCACTTCAATTAAAATTTGCAGCAAAGCTGAATCACAGGATAATTTGTATTTTCAGAATTAAACTCAAAAGTTGAGCTGACTAACAATGACCTGTACATCATTTGTATATTGGTGCCGAATCCTCCCTCTTCCACTTCTCAGCTTAATCACACATGTGAAGAGATACCTTCTGATTATTGGGGGAACCTCCAAACCCAGAAACAAGAGGACCAGAGCTTCCCTGCACGTGGCATCTCTGCATTTCCCCAACCCCGAGGGCTCGCTGACCTGTGCCGCTGTGAGATCAAAGCCCAGGACCATGTGCACAGAGAATGTCACCACGCTGGCGATCACCATCACAATGGGAGCCACACCCACGGTGATGCTCTGGAAGTACCCAGCTTTTTCCAATATCCGCCGTTCCTCCTCTCGGGTTTCTGAGAACAAGAAGGAAGCCACTTTCTAAAAAGCGAGCCAAAAGAAATCTGCAATATCGCTCCTCTGCCACCAAATAAGACTCGGTAGGTCTTTGGTCACACACAGGTTTTAAAAAGACCCTCTAACGCCGGTGGTGCAAAGACTAGGTCACCAGGACTATCAATCCCTACCACGGACTGGCACACAAGCCTGAGGTTTGAAACGGATCGAATCACAGGAGTGTCTCTAAGGGCAAACTGCACTGCGTATCTATACAACGATCACCTGCTGCCTCCGTCGGTTCTCTTTGCAAATTTCTTCTGTACAGAAGGGTCAAACACATTAGTTGTACCTGCAACTGGCAGTTTTGCTTGCTGACCTAGCTGTTGTTTATTTCTTGCCTAGGTACTTACAGGCAAGACTGCGCAACAGCAATGAGAATTAAAAGGAGCTAAGGGTTCAAGTGCCCACTGTAAGTGGGCACTGAGATCGGGACTTTCACACAAAAAGCAGGAGGGTGACCGACAGATGAAATGCAACTGCTGTAGGCAGAATGATTTTCTCAAATAGTTGCCACACTGACACCTTTATTCACAGAGCAACCCTAGAATAACGAGAGCACGATGTAGGAAGTATGATAATAAAGTGGTGAGGTATTTCCAAACAAACTTTTCAACTTAAAGGAAGTTCTCCTGAGAGGCTGTGTATGGACCTGAAGGTATTACGCTGCCCAAGACTCTGCGAACTACCTTCAGCTGGCTTGTTAGCCACATTTTAAAAAAATGTCCGCCTCATTGCTTTAAGTTACCATATACCTTGTCCGAATCTGTAATGAGCAAGAATGCTCCTTTCAAACTCACACACACAGGTGAAGATACCAACGTTAGGGGTGTACGGATGAGTGGAATCTCAGGAAGGTTACAAAACTCCAGAACCTGAGGGCCAGAAAGGCCCATCAGCGGTCACTTTGCTAACAACGTGCTTCGCAGACTTCCCGTTGGCATCCGCTTTTTCCATTTTTACTGGCAACAAACTCACTACTAAATGAAGCAGCCTCATCCACTGCTGGAGAGTTGTGAGTGGTCCCTCTCTGGATGACCACTCACATATGAAGTTTATGAAACTGGACACAATACTGCTGGAGGTTTAACTGACAAACCAAGCAGTGAAAAAGAAACAGCTTCCTTGATCGGAACATGGTAGTTCCATTCAACGTAAAACTGCATTTCACTTTTTAGCTGTAGTGTATTCGGGTCAGCTCACTATGAGGTCATGGTCAATGAACATATCTTTTACATGTAAATTAAGTTTACATGTAATTGTATCTTCTTTTTCAAACTCTAAAGTGTCTCTAAATACATCCCTCTTAAATTTCACCTTTGTTAAAGGCCCATCATTCTAACTTTTGCTGAGATCTGTTGAATGTTCAGTCTGTGCTAATTACTCTGCCATGTTTTGTAGCATTAACATATCACATTTACGTCTGCATTTAATTTATGGATCATGGCAGAGACAGACATTGAGAACCTTGTAACTCAACATAAAGTAATTGACTGAAAAGTTAAAAATAAGAGAACAGGCCAGAAAAGCCTACGAGTAAGTCACTGAGCCAGTCCAGGGTCCGTCTGCCTTGATCCCTCACCTAGCGCTTCTCCCAGCACCTCCTTCCCCAGGGTCTCACGCCGAACTGCCGTGGGGGCGCGTGTACCCCCAGAGCACCGAGGGCAGCAGTGGAGCTCTCAGCAGCCACGTGGTACTGTTTCCTGAGATGTCACCACGGCCAGACCAGAAACAGCCTGGGTGGGGTCAGAGTATAGGACAGGGATCTTCAAAATGGAATGAATTGCTCACAATGAGCTGAATCACCCTGGTGGGAGGGTGGAAATCACAGAGTTCTCAGGCCTCAAGTTCCTCATCTGTGATATGAGGTCATGAGTCCGAGTGGCTAAGGTCCTTACCAATGTAAACTTTGTAAGATATTACAAGAACCTAAGTTATTATCTCCCAGGACTTTAGGGTTCCTGGAGCTAACATGCTCAGGAAGCAGAGGAGTCAAAGTCCTCCTACCACGTATACACGTGGCGTCTGTACACTCACTTTGGACACTTTGAGAAAATGCTTTGACCCAGGCATACATTTTAATAAATTTAATGTAGGTGAGGACTTCGTTCATTTTCTGGACACGGTCATCCGTGGTGGTTACACATTTTCTTCTGAAATATGCAGTGATCCGTGACACAAACATCTGAAAGGAAAAAGAAGTGTGATGCCAAATCAGGGCTTATCAAAGTTAAGAACTATCTAGTCTTCCTGGGAAATAAAATCTATTTAAGATTTTTATAAATCAAATGAGTGCCATGTACTTGTACTGCTTTTAATAAAAGCAAGTTTATTAAATCATAATCAAATGTTATTTAATTCTTAGCTCGTGTAAGACAAATACTGTTCTTATAGTAAGCACAGATACTGAGTGCTAACGAAGGGGAGCAGGAGAGCCCTATTAGTATGAATTTGAGACAGAATGATTCAAAGCACTCCTGTGTTACTGGGGGGCAGGGTTCCCCCGCTGGTCTTTTCATTCACTCAGATTTTCTCTTTTTAAAATCTCTACTATAGCCCTGGCTGGTGCAGCTCAGTGGACTGAGGGTGGGCCTACAAATCAAAGGGTGGCTGGTTCGATTCCCAGTGAGGGCACATGCCCGGGTTGCAGGCATGGTCCCCAGTAGGAGGCGTGCGAGAGGCAACCACACACTGTTGTTTCTCTCCTTCTCTTCCTTCCTCCTTCCCCTCTCTCTAAAAGTAAATAAATAAAATCTAAAGAAGAAATAAATATAAATAAAAATAAATAAAAATCTCTACTTAAGCAACACCTCATTTCCTCAAGTCCAAATTTTGCCTATGTAAACTGGGCACTGTCTCCAGCTCCTTCTAGACTTTTCCAAACCAGGATCTGCTTTGAGGAAATTTCCAAGAAGAGATGTGATACTTCAGTGGTGCCTACTATACATAACATAATGGAAGTAACTAATCTCAGGAGAAGCTGCCAAAATACAGTAAAAAGGCTTGCTCACCATTGCTGGGTAAAAGAGGATAAAAACAGCTGATCCCAGGAAGCCTGTTGGTCCCAGAATAATTACATTATAAATCATGCCCAGGATAGCAACTATGGGTCCTCCAGCCAACAAGCTGCCAACGGCGGCAGCCTCGAACATTCTCTGCCCGTCGTTGGAGCACAGGTTGATGAGCTAGAAGACACGAAGAACAGTGAGAGGACCCTGCAAGGATGAGAGCCACTTGTGTCAAGAGGAGGAAAAAGGGCAAAGCAGGAACCTAAAGGAAAGAAAGAGCTCGGCCGGGGGGGCTTTCTCTCTGCCCTGAAGCAAAGACCCCGTACTCACCTCACCCACAGACTTCTCCTTAATGTTCTTTAACTTAAGGATCTTCTTAAACGCCATGGTGAGGATGGCCCCCCGCAAGCGGACGCCAGTTCGGTAATTCAATGCCCAAGTCAGTGCAAGCGACCAAGAGCGCACGATTTCCGTCAGGAGGAGGCCCAGGACTAACAGCAAGCTGTACTTGAGATTAGAATCTGTGCCCTGGGAGTACTCCAAGAGGTGCTTCACCATGAAGGCCTACAGGGAGAAACACACACCGCTGTCAGCATCTGCACGGCACCCGCACACCATGCGGCAGCTTTATGTTAAGTTAGAAAGAGGAGGCAGCTCCACTGTTCAGTGATAAGTGGATAAGCAGGGAAAAACCTCCTTGGAGGACAATCTGCCTGCAGTCATTTACTGAGGGCGTCTTGCAGGAGGTAGTTCCGATTTGAAATGTTTTTCCTTAAGGACACCACCACACCCGATACACTCTTTCTAATGTAACATAAACCTATCCGTCAGCTGAAATTAATTCTAAACACACGGTCATTAAAAAAAGTATATATTCGACTTTGGTCCAGCATCTCCACACATTGATATATTTCTTTAAATGAAATTATGAACCTTTTTTGGATTGTTTCAAACGTGCTTATTTGATAAAAAGGAACAGTGTACCTACAGTTGGACTGGGGAAGAGTGAGAAGTGCATTTGCAAAACATTCCTGAAAATAAACATCAGCAGTTTAATAGCACAGAAGGGAGCAAAACAAAGCAGACTTTCACAAATCCAGAGACCCTCCCATGGGCCCGCCCCACTCCCCGCTCCCTCCCAAAAACAAAAACATGTTACCTCAGGTAGCATATGTCTAACACCACCTGCAGTGAGGAAGGCAGCAGCCCCCAAGAACCGCCGCGTGCCACCTCCAGCTCTGAGGTCCTGCAACGCCGGAGCACACACTCATACAAGGCACATTCAGCAACAGGATTGAATACCAGCAAGTGGGAGGTAATGTACTTTTATTGAAAATGAAAAAAAAAAAAGTACCATCTTCAAAGAGCATCTCACAGACACTGTACAACAGGAGGAGCATTGCAGTAACATACATGGGAACATACAGAGTCAAGTTATACAAGGCTAGCCATCTAACAGGTCATCTGGCCTCCGCCCATCGGATTAGCTACACATAGTGGAAGTACAGAACAGAGCCAGCATCTGTTTCCAGAGTCCGGAGGAGTACAGCGAGCGGACAGCACTTAACCGGTTAGGGCTCCTGACGCTGCAGTGAAGCTGCAATGGAGGAGACTCTCCAGGAATAAAGACCTTGCTGCTAAGGAAAGAGAATTAAAAACAAAACAAAACAAAAAAACAAACAAAAAAAACCCGAACCCAAAACTCCCCAAAGCAGTTAACTCCACTTAAAATTGCTGGCGCTATCGGTTCGCTAGGCTGTGAGCAATGACTGACTTCTGCTCAGGACAGAAGACAAAAATCTAGGCCTCGAGGAAAAACGGGTGGCATCCTTCAGTCTTTCCAAGTCCCAGCAGCTAAAATGGGTCTTGCCAAAAATGAAACAAAACAAGCTACAGCAAAAGAAAGCCAAACCAATCCCCCACCCAGAAGGAAGAAAAAAAATTAGAGAGAAACCCACCCACCCACATACCCCGGAACCTCCTAGCAGAGGGCACTGGAACTGGAAGCCAGCTCTGAACGACAGACAAAAATGGAGGCCAAACACAAGTGTCCCGAGGCAGCTAACGCTGCATTCCAGACCCAGACTTGCTCTGGGTGAGCTGGGATTTCTCACTTTTCCTAGAGGAGGTTAATACCAGATGTCCACTAGACCCTAAGAGATCCCCACCAATCAGATTGATGTCAGTCTCTGTAAACAACCTGATCATGTCAACAGGAGATTGCAGATGCCAAGAACTATCGTATTTCACCTTTCCCCTCCCTCAGATTTTTAGGTTTATATCCATTGTTTGGGTCACCACTGCATACAGCTGGGTTGTTGGTTTACTAGCAAGAAGATTGGCTTCTTTTCCAGTATGCAATCCAAAATGCAGAACTGAGTCACTGAGTGGCAGGGTCGAAACCCCATTTTCCTCACGTGAAGCGACTCAGTAAGATGGCGGTGCAGTAAAGCATTTTCTCACACACCTCGGCACTGACGGAACAGTCTCCAAAGGAAGGCGTGAAAGGACAGCAGGATGTAGTTGGGGGTTCTTTCTCTCCCATACCTTTAGAGTGCCATTTTTCAGCACGGTAATAGCACTAGTACCTCCCACAGGGGAGGAGCCGGGGAAGGTAAAAGACATAATGAACACACTTACACTATGCAAAACTTTCAAAGGGGGAGGGGGAAAAAAAGAGGAAACAGCAGATTAAAGAATTTCCAACACAGAGGGTTTTTAAAAAACATTACATTTCAAACCATTTTGTATGGGATAAAGAGGAAAAAAAAGGTTTTCATGGCAAATCCAAACAAAATTTAGTTTTAAAAAGCTACAAATATATCACGTCAATTTAAACAAACTGGGAGAAAACTTGAGATGGTCAGCATAGCTGTCTGGCTGTGGAAGACATTCCCAGTGAATAAACATTACCTTACCTGAACTCTTGGCGAGAGATTCTGCCCAGCTTGACTCTCTCATTCTGACCGCAGAATACAGCCAATCCTGAAAATTCTAAAGAACAGCTTCTGTCACTGGTTCCACTACAGAGAGACTCCCCCCAAATCCAGATTCTGACAGCACCAAGCAAGCTGCAGCTGGAGAGAGGTTGGAAGGGTGGAAAACTTACCTCTCTAGAGGCTTTTCACTGTCCTTTCCCCAAAAGGCCCTCTGGCTGAGTTAGCATTCACCAAGAGATATAGCACTGCAGGAAGGAGCCTTCTCTTGCAGATCTACAGGGCGGATGCTAATTCTTTACACACACATCATAGGTCAGGCCTGGTCTTTTAAAACTGTTTTAATCCAAGAAGGCCACAGATCATCTCTGTAAATTCATCAATTTGGCCCCTCGTCTTAGGTCAGGACCATACCCTTACAGATGCTGGTATTCCATTAATGTGATGGTGACCCTTGGGCGCCCTGCACAGAGTGCCGGTCCACTGGCATCACTGACTCCTTGGATCATCCTGATCAGGCATGTCCAGCCCTGGCTGGCCAGCAGTTTAAAACAAAACACAACCACTTGATTGGGTTGCATCTGCTCTGCACATGGCTACCAAGGTTCAGTGAGGCCTGAGGGGAGATAAGAAACATGCCCTATTCAGGGAGTGGGTTCTTATGTGGATTTCTGTAAGAGCAGACCAAGCCAGTTTGGAAGGTGTGCCACATTTGCAAATGTGCAGAAATCTAAATGGGGTGTTCCTCGAAAGGATTTAAGTCCACAGACAGAAGGTACGCTCATTGCTAGTACCAATCTCGAAACCAGCCTGATTGCTCAATTTCCAATGGGAAAGGAACCGATTAGAATTGGAGCTCCAAAAAAGATGTTTTGCATTCTTTGCAATTTTAAATGATTTTATCAATTAGAGAGGCTGTGGACGGCCACTGCTTTGTCAACTGTTCTAGGATGCATCTCGTGAACTCCTACAAGCCTCAAGGTGTTCTTCCCCAAGCACAGAGAGAAGAAAAAGCATGCTGCTGTTTTCCTATTAAAGGAAGACTCTCTCGGCTTTCCCTGATGTCTAGAAGAATTTACTGAAGATCAGTATTTCAGTGAGCGGTGCCTTGAGAGATTAAGGAATACACAGATGCTCAGCAGAGTGACTGGAGGCCCCCAACTAAACATGCATAGGTAATTTTTTCCCAGGTGAAAAATTAAAATCCCAACAATCTATGGAGTAAGTTTTCTCTTGGTGAGGGGAGCCAGAGAAGTTCTTGCATTGTCCAAATGTAACCAAAAAGCCTGTACAGCGTGCTACCCAGTGGATAGAATTCCATGAGGATCAGAGCAGCCGCCAGCCCTGTAGTGAAACAATGACAGAAGCTCTTCTTGGGGGAAGCTGGCCCTATGGAAACGTTTGCCATTTTGGTCAATAACATAATATTCAGTTACGTGGTCCCTCTTACTTAAAACTTACACAAAAATGTGTTAGTCGGTCAACAATCAATGTAGAAACACAGTAACAGAAAAGTAGTTTTTCTGCTTCAGAAAAAGAGATCAAATCTTTTCTAAAAGGCATCAAACATTGAGAAAAAAACAGCAGAAAAATTGTAAATTAGTTTTACCTAATCACTATGCATCTTAGGCACATACTTACCAAAACCATGAACCTCCAGCTTACCCACACACGGAAAATGCACAGTACAGTAGCACTACTGCTTCGATGCCTCAAGGCAAATATGTAGAGAATAGATTTAATCAAAGTCTCAAGGGTAAGGAAGCACAGCAGGTGTAAAACAGGTGTCCAGAAAACAGGGTGCACGTCACGCTTACCTACTCTGCTCCAGCACACACTAGGAAAAAACCATGGCTGCCACCCCGACACTCGCCACACAGTTTCCACTACAGACCAAACTGAAAATGGACTCCGGGTTAGACACTAAAAACCTCAACAGTCCCCTAGTGTCTTCGGGACTCATCTGCCATAGAACCGTCAGACACGTGACAACGCTGCCTCCAGGTATCTGGTGGACCACCAGCACTAGCTCCACAGCTTAGGCCACACAAGACTCCTCTCACCCATTCACAGCACTGAGAGACACATCTTCCCAAACCGAGACTGTCATCTCATGTCAACACACAGCAAAGGAGCACAATCCTGCACAGAGCCAGAATCAGTCAGTTTCACCCCCGCCCCAGGAAAGCAAGCCTGTTCCATTTCTTATCTGGCAACACAGCCCCCACATCCTTCCAGCCGCTGACCAGCCACCACTCACTCCAAAACCAATTGTTCCCTTTCCACAGACCTGGAGGCATCTCTAAGGCTGCTAACTAGCCCAAAGGTGAGCGCAACCCCTGCAACAGAACAACAGTGTTAGAGCTGGCCATGGCCGGGCCCCTGGAGACTGTCAGAAAGGATGGTTAGGACTTACTGGTCCACTGAAGCCAGCCAGCTGCGTGATCATCAGGCACACGATGGAGAGGATGAGCCTGGTGCGGCAGAAGATCCACACAACCCTTCGGAGGGAAGCAGCTTCTGGCCCAACTTCATTCAGCTCTTCTTGCCACAGTCTCTCTAGTCTTAACAAGGGCACATGTCCTCCGTTACACATCTCCCCAGGGAATAAACACACCCTAGCTTCCTTCCTGCCATCACTTTTTGTCTCCAGGCTTTGACACCACGCACACAAATCTTTCCTTTAAAATTATGTACATAGCACTCGCCTTCGGGGGAAAAAACAAAAACAAAAAACCCTTCCTGGGTGACTACATATTTACCCTGCATAAGGAGCCTCTCAGGATACAGAAAGTGATGAAAACAAAAGTCTTTCCTTCCACCCAGAAATATTATCCATCCCTGCATAGAATTTGTGGATAAGAACTTCATTTCTCAAGGGTTCCCAACCCTCTCTGAAGGACCCCGTTGTAAAATGTAAAGGTGTAAACTAGATTTTAATCATGACAATGAGCTACCACAAAAATGTATTCTGTCACAAGGCGGCAACATAACCTCCCTGTAGACTCAGGAAGAGAAGCGGGGCTGAGAGAGAGAGAGAAAGCCCGTGGTTAAACAGGAGTAAAGGTGAAATAGGAGATAAAGCAGAAGAGCAAAGAGAAAGTCATCCCAGGCTCCCCTCCCTCCGTCGGCTAGCTCAGATCCTGAAACGACCCAGAGCCGAGGACTCCACACTGCTGCACCCACACCCCTAGCTCAGGCCCTACGCATCCCGTGGGTGGGTCGCCAGAGTGGACCAGACACGCCTACCTTCTGCAGTTCACGTCGGAAGACTCGTACTTGGACAAAGACCAGACATCCTCCATGGAGAGCTCCCTCTTCTTGTGGGCCAGGTGGGCCAGGGGAGAAAGCCAAGAAAAAGTCATACAGGAGAAGAGCCCAGCATTATCCACTGGGTGCTGGTGTCTAAGGAGAGAACACCCAAAGCACAACACCATCAACATGCATCAAGATGCCAGGCGGCATTTATAACACCATCTAGTAAACGGAGCTCCTGACTATAATTAGGGCTCTCCAAATAGTCCGATCTTAGCCTGCATTGTCAACAGCCCTTTTGGTGCTTCGCAGAGAAGTCATTAAGCAGGAGAGCCTCTTACTTGGAAGTGGTCCGAATGGGCTTCAGAGCACTTAAGCTGTGGTGGTACTTCCCCTTCGGATGTTCCTCATCCAGGATTCTGAGCTGAGAATGCGTACAGACATCCAAGGAAAGGCCCTCCGCCCGGGCTGCTGTTTCCAAGGCGTCTTGGCATTCCAACTGTTTGGACAGAGAGGGAGAGAAGACATCAGAACAAATCTACGTGACACAACAGCCCTAACTGCAAGCCAGGTTCATCTTAACTGAGAAATTCCAAATGTTCAGAGGGCTAGACGTCAACTTGGGTGGTACGAACTCACTAAGGAACATTAAACCAGACATCTAAAACTTCTAAACTAATTGACTTCATTTTTTAAAAACGTTTTAGGTCCAGTAACATTGAGCAGAAAGTACAGGGAGTTCCCATGTACCTTCTCATCTGCCCCCTCCGCTCCCATCTGCTTCCCATTACGAACACTGCGCATTAGTGAGGAGCACCTGCTACCGATGAGCCAATACTGACGCATTACCTTGAAGTCCATAGTTTACATGAGAATTCACTCTTTGGGTTGTACATTCTAAAATGTGCATTTTGTCCCCAAAATGTTTTATCTTTCATCTCCCAACATGGACTGACAGTTGCTTACTTTACTAACTGCAAATACTTTTACCCATTTTCTCCGACAAAAAATTCAAGATCACCCGCAATTCAACAGCCCTGTCATGCAGAAAGAGCCAGCATGTACACAGGACGCCTGCCTTTCCTTTCACCAGCAACAGGGAAGGCAGAACAGCTAAAGAGCTCCAATATCCAGATTTCTGCAGCATGAAGCAGGGGGTCTCATGAGTTGAAATACAAAGTTATACATACTCGCTTATAAAGCTTATACATGTCAGTGAATCAGGTGAACAAAAATGCATGTAATTCAATGTCTGACTCTGGCAGAAGAGTATGGGCCAAGAACCAGGACACATCTGTCCCCACTTGCTCTAACAGTAACTCAAAGTGTACGCCTTCCTGTCCCAAAAGCAGAAGTATTTTTCCTCAAGAAGGATAATGAGTCCATCGCCCTTTTCTCACACCATCACAAATACTTCCAGCAATTACTGGGAAGCAGAAAGAACAGAGCCCCGAACTGAGGAAGAGTTAAGAGCTACAGCACCTAACACACTGCGCGCCCGACACAAAGTAGAGCCTCTACTGTTCCCTCCCCGCTTTTCCACACAGAACAAACGTCAGCTGAACGGAAAGAGCAGATTTCGCGCATGGGGCCCCCAGTCGGCGTGGGTGCCTAGGTGCACTGCTCCTCCAACACAACAGCTTCCATTCACAGGCGGGGCACTGCTGCTCAGGATCAGGAAACTGCACAGCTCAGGCAAAAGGGAAGCACACTTCTCTCCTTTCGTCAAAAGCAAGGCAGACCAGTTTCAAGAGAATAACAGCACAATGACAAATGAGTCAACACTTAATTCAAAGAATTAAGTCCTACAAAGTCCTTAGGCATACCGTAAATACTTATTTAGTGGTTAGGGACTATGATACCTAATAAGAAACTAAATAAAGGCTGCTGAGATTCAAGTACACACAAAGGTTGTGTGTTTTAAACCTTTAGGCTGCCTATAACCACAAGGGGAAGAAAAGAAAACCTTTGGATTGATAAAAAAGAAAGTTACACTAAAAATACAAACATACCTATTATATGGAAGTAGAAACTGGAAGTATGTACAGAGTAAGAACAGACTATTACAAGGACCAGCCTTATTCAGATATCTAAAGCTTCAAAAGAAGAAAAAAATGAAAGCAACACCACCCCAAGTGTGCACTGGGTATCTGCCAAATTGGACCATGTGCTGGGCCATAAAGCAAACCTGAACCAATTTCAAAAGACTGACACAATACAGTGCACGGTCTCTGACCACTTGGGACTCAGAATTCAGTAACAAAGACAACAAGGAAAATCTCCCCATATTCAGAAATTATGCAGCACACTTTCAAATAATAGGCGTTAAAGAAGACATCAAATGGATATCAGTAAACAGTCTGAGGTAAATGGTTAGGAAGAAATTATAACACATCAAAATTTATGGGATGCTGCTAACGTGAGTGTAGAGTGAGGGTGTGAGTGCCTTCAAAGTGTGTATTAAAAAGGAAGAGTGAGAAATCGACGCTCCACGCTAGTGCCTGGCAGCATCTTCTACAATGGGCCAGACTGCAAATATTTTAGGCTTTGTGGAGCAAGAGGTGCAATTGAGGATATTTTGTAGGTACTTACATTACAAAAGAAAACAAATGTCCACAAAATGTTTACTGATGAAATTCAAAATATAATAATAACAGTACAATTTTTCTGTAATACGGTCTACTAATAAAATAACATTTCACTTAATTAGAGTTTAAAATGGTTTCCCCTTTCACCTGCTAATGCTGATGAAATCTTCATCTGTTAATGCTGACTTGTGGTAAGATTTTACAATTTCCTCTTTGAAAATGTCTTTTCACACAGACAGGTCCTGCCAAACACTGAAAAGCAACCCATGAGTGTGTGACTTCAACTGGGCACATTTACCTCTTGGAAGGCACTATAGAATCCCACTAGATCTTTCTCTTGACAGCTGCCTTTTTTATGACATTACATTGTGGCTGACACTACATTACATTCTAACTGAAAGTTGGTGGAAGCTACTGAATGGCTGAATGAGATGGATTGTTTAAATCGTGGCAAAATATATATAACATAAAATTTGCCATTTTTAACACTTTAAGCATAAAATTCTGGGGCATTAACTATATTCACAATGTTGTACAACCATCATCACTATTTCCAAAATAATATGAAAATTTCCTTCATGCTTCATGGAGTATACTAAATAATTTAAGCTGTAGTTTAAATTACAGAACTGTAATTTAAGCTCAGATTTATATAATGTATATATATAAATCTCCACTACAAATTTGCAGGGGAATGGAGATCTCACTTGTTGTTTTACCTTTCTTTTTTTTTAATTTTTTTATTGATTATGCTGTTACAGTTGTTCTATTCCCCCTTTCATTCCCCTCCACCCTACCACCCCATCCCCACCATTACCCCCCCTTTAGTTTATGATCATGTGTCTCAAGTCCTTTAGATTCTATATTTCCCATGCTATTCTTGCCCCCCCATCTATTTTCTATCTACTGTCTATGCTACTTATTTTCTGTACCTTCTCCCCCCTTCTCCTCCTCCCACTCCCGTTGCTAACCCTCCTTGAGATCTTCATTTCTGTGTTTCCACTCCTGATCTCGCTGTCCTTTTAGTTTGCTTTTGTTTTAGGTGTGGTTGTTAATAACTGTGAGTTTGTTGTCCTTTCACTGTTCATGTTTCTTTAACTTCTTTTTCTTAGATAAGTCCCTTTAACATCTCATATAATAAGGGCTTGGTGATGATGAACTCCTTGAATTTGATCTTATCTGAGAAGCACCTTATCTGTCCTTCCATTCTAAATGAAAGTTTTGCTGGATAGAGCAATCTTGGTTGTAGGTCTTTGGATTTCATGACTTGGAATACCTCTTTCCAGCCCCTTCTTGCCTGTAAGGTCTCTTTTGAGAAATCCGCTGACAGTCTGATGGGGACTCCTTTGTAGGTGACTGTCCCCTTAGCTCTTGCTGCTTCTAGGATTCTCTCCTTCATTTTAATTTTGGCTAATGTAATTATGATGTGCCTTGGTGTGTTCCTTCTTGGGTCCAACTTCTTTGGGACTCTCTGAGCTTCTTGGACTTCCTGGAAGTCTATTTCCTTTGCCAGATTGGGGGAGTTCTCCTTTATGATTTGTTCAAGTAAGTTTTCCACTTGTTGCTGTTCCTCTTCCCCTTCTGGTACCCCTATACTTCGGATGTTGGAACGTTTAAAGATGTCCTAGAGGTTCCTAAGGCTCTCATTTTTTTGAATTCTT